TCTGTGTATTACTTTCAATTGCAATGTGAATCTATACATATATGTATACGTGTGTATAAATATTCAACCGCTAGTTGGATGCCATGTTAACACAGCACCTACTCTCTCTCTCTCTTTCTCTATATAGGGTTATATATAGAGAGAGTATATATAGAGAGAGAGAAAGAGAGAGAGCGTAGGTGCTTGTTAACATGGCATCCAGCTAGCGGTTTAAATGCTTTCCTAGGTGCAGGGTAAATACTGCCTTCTCAGGCAGTCACAAAAGTAGAATAATATTGTACATAATTTTAAAATATTTATTTCCTGTACTTTGTGGTAACAAACCTGGGGATGCTGTTGGTTTGCAATGTAGTAGCATGGATGGGAAGGGTGTTTCATACTACAAATAGCAATGGACATGGGGAGAAAGACTAGGATCTGGTCTGGAATTAATGCTGCAAAATCAGTATCCTAGTTTTCACTAAGGTGGTACTATCCTTTGAGATTTAACACTTCAGATTCGCATGATTAAATGTTCCTCCCTATTTTTTAAAAGCCCTCCACATTAGGTATCAGAGAGAACCAGTGTACCCTAGTCTTCCCTGATGCTTTGTTTCTTAGTGCAAAGGAATGTTTTTGTGTAGAGAATCATTGAATCAGGTCAGCTGTTTTCTGAAGTGGAAACACAGGTTTACCAGTCCAATGAGAGCAAAAAGTAAGCGAAATAAAAGCATTACATTTTTTGTATATTGTTTTCTGTGGAAGTGAGTCAAAATTCCCAGCTGCCAAGCACAGTTTGGTGTAGGCTGCCTAGTCATGTGCACCTTCTGGCACAGCACATATGAGCAATAAAGATCTTAGTAATAATGTTTTCAATGGTAATATTATTTTAAGTCCTGATGAGGATGGTTTGTGTGTGTGTGTGTGTTGTTTAAGATTGTTTTTCTTCAGTAGCCTTCAAAGAGGGACAGACAGCTACATATTTATGCACCGTTGCAAGAAGTACCTAGGTTTAAATTCAGAGAAATTGGGCAAGCCGACTCAGGGAAATTGACTTAAGGGGAGCCCTTACCGCGAATTGTATTGGGTAACACCAGTGGCAAAGTGAAGAGATGAAATGGTGCCCTTTCAGTCCTGCTGTCACTTGACCACCCCCTCTTAGGTTGCATGCTTGATGCTTCCTAGTGCCCACTGTCAGTTTTTGAAAATAAAGCTCACCATACCCATGTCCCAGTTGCTGTGCAGAGTTCAAAGTTTTGATTTCTTTCTATTTGGGTTTTCTCTCAATCTGTATTTATTTTGGTCTTTCAGATCATAAACAACCTATCTTATTTTCCACTCACTATCCTTTGACATTTTCTGTGTTGTATTATGCTGTTTAAAACATCACCCTATTTTATTTATAACCATATACTTTTGTTGCATTAAGATTCTGAAATGCTTTTTTCTTGATGTTGCTTATGTTGATCATTCAGAGTCCCCATCCCATCACAATTTTTCTCTCTTTCATCAACTCTGAAGAACTCATCCCGTGGGACTATTTCACAATGTCACCTCTTACTAACCATCCTGCTCTGGTCCAGCTCCTATCTCTATCTGTCCTAGAAGTTTCAGATGGAGTGGAGGAAGGGAGACTTGTAACGTTCTGCCATGAGTAATTTTTCCCAAAGTCTTGGGATAATCTGCCAAGTCGAATGAGCCCCCATCAATATGTAGCACATCGTTGGTGTACAAATGTATTTTGAGTTCCTGAGGTTCCTTGCATCTATATTCACTCAGTGTGCCTCACAAGCAGTTTTGCTTGCTTTCTCTAAGAGAGTCCTATCTACCCTTCTGACAAACCAAGGACTCTATTCTTTCTACCCTGCCACCACTTTTGCTTCTAGTCTGTTACTCTACACATCACCTGAACCCTTATCTGTATACAGTATTTCATTGGAAGGTTTCTGTTAAAAACTATTTACCATATTTTCAGGGCACTGGGAAATGCTGTGATTTTAGAAAAAGAATGTGTCTGCTGTGAATTGTTCGTAAAATGTGTCAGTAGGTAATATTTTATATACCTCACCTAAAGTACATTTGAAAAAGTATGTAAAATAGAAGTTACCTTCAGTTGCTTTCCAGCCATTAATTCTACAGCTAGGGCTAGTTTACCATGAAATTGTATCAAAACTCTTGAGTAATCTTGTGACACTTCCATGTTTTTGTGTCTATGTTTGTGTTTCATTTCTTGATAAACCAATGGAGGATGGTATGTTCTTGTCCTTGATCACTGGGCACCAGGTGAGATTTAGACTTTTTTCCTTTGCTTATTTCCATGTCTCCTCCTCCCTCCCCTTATACACTGTTATGTACTCTGTGCGTTAAGGGTCCGTATTTTATTGCCACTTATTAAATACTTCTTTTATATCAGTATTGCTGTGGTGTGGTGCAGTTCAATGTGGAGTGTCTCTAGAGAATATTGGTCTTCAAACAACTAGTCCTCTACAAGCTGCATACAGGTAGTCAGTGGAGAAGATGCAGAACATTGATCTGTGAGAGACTGAGGCCTTTTTGAACAATCCTGGATTAGTCCATTTATTTCCCCCAAAATGTTTCAGTTCAAAGCAACTTAAAGGAACCTGACTTGAGACTAATACTGTGAAATGTTATATCCAGATTCAGCAAATTGGCTCATCAAAGCAACTCCAGCCCATTTCATTGGAAAGGCAACCCTCTTGTTATTAAAATGTGAGTTATATATATGCGTTGATTTGTAGAAGAAGAGCAACAACAACAACAAAGGTTTACATGGTTTGTTGGAAATGTACCCCCTTGCAAAAGACGTGGCTGGGCAGGGATGAAAATCAAAAGGACTTCTCCGTATTTACTCATACTCTCTTGTGGTTGTTGACTCATTGCTCACAAGGAACAGCTTCCCCAAAAGCCTCTTCCGAGGTTGGATTAAGAATCTGGGTGCATGTTTGTTCCTTGGTTTTAGTAGAAAAGAACAGTGTTGTTTAGCAGAGACGATTGCAACACAGGCCAGAATCCCGTTTGAGTCAAAGAATGCACAGGGGCACTTGCTTCAGATGTTGGACTATAGATCCTGTCAGTTCAAGGCAGCATAGCAGCGGTGAGGAACGCTGAAAGTTAACAATCCCACAGCATTGGAGGGTAACCTTTTGCCCACCCCCACTTCACATCTAGTGTGCTAATTTATCCCCAAACCTTTATCCTAGTGGTTGCATGCCATTTCTCAGCCATATTTTTAAAAGTTTGAGATTAGACAAGATCATCTGTTACTGTAACAGCAGTCCTTGTGCCTCAAATATAAACATGCTAATGGTAATCTGATCTCTCTGTTCTTCCCATGGATTTCCTGCAAGCTGTACTAAGAATGTTGGTTTGATGTTGTTGTTTTTTCAGTTTGAGGCAGGAACATGAATATGTGCTATTGAGCACTGATGACAACATTTGTTTCCTTGCACACAGAGCTGTTCTTAAACCATTGTGCATATGAATGCTGGGAGTACTTGGATGATATATCACGCAATTCAAGGAGCCAAAGCAGGCACTGTTCCATGTTTAAACTGCATGGTTGCCTTGCTCTATTAATACAAAACTGAACAAGTTTGCCCTTTTCCCAAGAGTGATCCATCTCAAAAAAGGTGAGTTGGGGAGGAAAGTGCAGTGGCCAGAGCTTATAGTGAAGCTTGTTCCCCCGCTGAGAAAACTGTATAGTAGTAGATATCTCTTGGGCTCTCCCCAAGAAAGAAAAAGGAGCAAGTTGTATGTTGCTTGGGGGGGGGGGAACAGTCCAGCCTGGTGTCTCTGGCTGAATTAATGTCATATTCACATGGAAGACAACATGAACAATATATTTAAAACCTTCTAAAATAGTATTGCTGTGTTTCTAATGAAAGCACAACCTCACTTGTCCTATCAGACCCCCACATCTTAAAAAAGATGGCAAGAAGCAATAACTCCAGTTAGAAAAAACCAATGATGTTGGTTGCAGCTATTAGAGGAGCATCCGCCAACAGAAAATCTGATAGCATAGAAAAATACTATACCAAACAGAAATACAAATATATAAATATATATGCTTCTAAGTTGTCTGTATAGAAAGAGATACTTCAGCAGTTAGCTTACAACAGGCAAGGGAAAAAACATTTTACACAGCCACTCAGTACCTTCTCTGTGAGTTGCCCTTCAGCTGTAGCAGTGATTGGATTGTTTTAAGCCTGCCTGGTCACCAAAAGAGAAGTCACTGAGAGAAGCGCCGGTAGTTGGCAGGTTAAGAGTCAGTAGTGAACACACAAAACCTTGGTACAAATTTCATTCAAATGTTGAGATAAACAAAAGGTGTTATTACTTGGGGACACCGTTACACCAGGCACAAAATTTGGGCAGCAGCTTATAGTCATGCAACAGGAAGCGCAAATCTTGCATGTGTGCCAACTGATTAGACTTTTGGACAATGATGAATGTTAGTGAAATTGAGTTATAATTGAATAAAAATAATGCCTCCAAACTTGCATTTTGCTGAGGAACCGTGCAGCCTGAAGAATAAGCACATCAGGCTTCCTTGACCATTAATGAGTAGCCCAACACCTGAACTGACACCACATAACCTAGCATATGAGTAGCCTTGGGAACAGCAGGGTCATGCTTTCCAAGGAAATCACCAGAGAAATTTATTTCAAGAGTGTATCTGTTTGTTGTGTCAACTAGCCAATTGTTTTTAATTATCACATTTGAAATGGAAAATTGAATTCTAGTATAACGTAAAGCCTTCTTGACTATTATATTTTGGATCCCAATGTAAGTACAGTATAAAATTATCTTGCTTGGGACAAGATGCCTAGAATAAGCAACTGCATTTCCATTGTTGCCATCTCACTATCCCCTGTATATCCAGTATAAGGTTCTTTTAAAACCAAAACATACTGAATTGGCAGGCAACATGTCATATTTCAGACAATAATGTGTATGATATAGTATATGCAACTGTTGTTACTGAAAATGTGAAGTCTGAATCAATGTCAAAAGCCCTGATTAATTTATTTGGGAATTTAGAAACTGAATGTTATAAATTGGAAGAACAATACATTTAACATTTCTAGACTTTCTGTAATAAATAAAAATTGAAAAAATCTAGATGATAAAAATGAAATTTGAAAGTCGTGGCAGATTTTAATATCCCCGCAAATCACATTGTTTTGCTTTGTCATCATCGGTGTTTCCTGTTGTACTTATCAGTAAACCTCAGTGGTGCACAGCTTTTGTTACTAGCAAATGAACCCTTCCTGCCTTTGTTTCATTTCAGTTACCCATTGCTTCTTCACCTGCAGCAATAAAAGAATTAGTGCATTAACATGGCTAGCAAATAGCTACAATGCTGTCTGAAGGAAGCAAACCATGGCTTTTCTCCCCAGAAGGTAGTGTGTAGCTGACATATATGTGCTTATACATGGTTAGTATCCTGTTGCCTAAATTTATATCAGAAGGGAATGTATGTAAGTGTCCCCAACCACCAACCTTGGTAGGTTTGCTGTTGTGTTACCCCAGTTGTATGACCAAACTCATAACCACTGCAAGAATGGATGACTAATGTAGTGCCTACCAGAACAATGGGATGTCTACATAATTTCCCCATTCCCTCACATTTAGGCAATTAAATACTAGTCCACCCATTTTATACCTGGAAGCATTCTGGGAGTACTTCCCTTGTAAGTGACCCTCTCTTGTTGTATCTCACTTTGCCTGACTAGTATCCAGTGTTAAAATTAAAAGCTAGTAATTTAGAAAGCCATAAGCTTGAGGCTCCTTGTATCAAGTGCTGTCAAAGCTGAGGAACCATGTTTCTAGATCTCATGTAGGAGACATGATCTATTAAGTTTCAAGCAACAGGTGGCTGGTGATGTTACTGAGGAAACAAGGACACCAGTACATTCAAGGCTGGTTTACATTAGACATTGTGTATTCTCAGCAACTGGATTCTTGTAGGGCTATATGAATGAGAATTTAGCATCTGGGAATTGTTAATCCTTAAACCAATCCTTAAACCAAAGGTGATTCAAACCTTCAAGCACAACTTCCAATTTTCTGTCTCTGGAAGAAACTGGGTAAGGGGACATTTCTATTGATCAGCACATGCAACTTTAGAATATCTTGCAAGTTTATTTGCTCCTTCCAGCTAGTGAAATAAATTCTGTGAATAATCTGTGAATTTTAATTTACATAATTCACATTGGCAAGCAGTTGCAATTCTTCTTGTACAGAATCAAGTTTGTAGTGGAGCAGAAATCTGATTTTACTTGTAATTTTCAGCCCATAGCTAGTAGTAATAAATGCAGATCAAAATCTTTCTCTGGCAGAAGATGTTAAATGCAAAGCGTCTTTGAGCAACTCAAGGTTCTTCCGCCATGAGTGCATCATATGAACTTTCTACTGAACAGGGTTGTGGAAACAACAAGAGAGAGAGAAATTGTCAGCTGAATTTATTTTAAATGCTTGGCTGTTGAAAATGTACCTTATACTTTTTCATGCTGTGCCTAAAGCCTAACCTCATGGGGACAAAGAGTATATAGCACCTGGTTTGAAAGCTTAGGGTCTAGATTTTGTTAGGAGAAAAGGCAAGTGAATCTGCACCCTAGTCCTCATTGCAGGAGGACTGGATATATTTCATTAGTGGGCCTGGTTCATGATGTTGCCATTTTGAAGACAGTGCCACACTAAATGGAGTGCAAGATACACATGCTGTTCACCCCCATCTTTATCCTTCTAAAAAGCAGGTGAAATTGAAAATGACAGGTATTAAAATGATTATCCTAGAGTTGGCATTGGCTGGATTTTAGAATCAGCCACACTTGAACATTCAGACTTCTTACTTCAGCAGAGTTTTGGCATTTAGACTGATTTTGTAGTCTAGAAATGTGGTAGCGGCTAGAGGAGGAACCAGAAGAACCTAATCCTGTCTTTGCTGCATTCATATCATGGAAATTGTAAACTTTTAAAACTCAAGGATCTGGGCCTATTTCCCCATTCCTTCCATCAAAACTATAGTGTGAAGAAAATTAGCCAAGGATTTTCCAGCCATCATGCAACCAGATCCTTTCCATGCTTCCGTGGAAGGTAACTCCCAATGGATTCAAATGTTGCTTACTCACAGGAAAGTGAGTATAGGATTAAAACCTTGGACAAATAGTTATGTGCCTGGGTATGCTTGGTTTCTTTTCAGTAGTAAGTCGAGGAAGGTCTGAATGTATGACTATAACGGAATCTCAGGATTAAGCCAATTTCATACCTCTTGTGAATATTAGGCTGTAGGATGCAGGTGTTCACACAATTCTTTCCAATTTTCCTAAATTATGCTGTCTTTTTCCTAGCCTGGTAACACATCTTCCCCCCCCTACCCATTCCCTTGACTGCTGCTTCTGCACTGCTTGCAGTTTAAGCCCCATAAACAGACCATAAGGTTGCAATCATCAGACAATAAGGAGAGGAATATGAGTCGCTACTCAGCAAGAGAAAAACCAGAGCTGCTGCTCCCCAAAAGGAAGCAGGCATGGTGTAGCCAGGCACGCTCCAACATGAGGAAAAAAATGACAGGATATGAAATGGCAGGATCCTGAAGCTAGGCTAGGCATGACCTTCTCAGGACATCACACTGGTCAAAACAAACAGGCTAGACTGATAAGAATCCATTCTGGGCCCAAGTAGTGGCTCCAGATAAGAGTCTGTGCTGGACATAAATACATCTGTTCTGCTGGATTTGCCAGCAAAAGTCTTCTATCTACATCTTTGTCTGGTCCATCCAGAAGAGCCATGGTCATCATGCCAAAGGAACTGCCATTTGCCAAATGAAATATCATACCCCACCCCAAGCAGCAACAGGGCAAAAGGAGATGGCAGGCTTGTTCCTAAGGCCTCTCTCAGGGCAGGCCTGGCCCACTGATCTCTGGCACTGGCCTGTCCCTTGCTGGAGGCTACATGCACTGGGAGCAGCCGCATTTGCTGGGTTTTTCCACCTCCTCCACAAAGGAAGAGCCATCACTGCATTCAAAGGTGTACTTCCTGCGCTTGAGACGCAGTCCTGTGCAGCAGCCTAGTCCTGGGCATGATCCCCGGCACTCCACCCAGGAAGCAGGCCGTGTTGTTTGGCAGATGGCATATCCACGTTGGACCTGGTAGAAATCCCGTACAGCCTCACCCCGACACTCCGACTCTGCAGAGAACAGAGAGGAACAAAAAGAAAGGTCAGAGAGACTAAGTAAGTAATGCCATAAGAAAAGCACTGTGTTCCTCAACACTTGGATGGTTTCTGGTAAATAAACTAACTAGGTATTCTAATAACTTTAAGCATGCTGAAAAGGACAACTTTGTCTCCCTGCAGTCTTATATAGTGGATAAAGAGAGAAGACAGCAGAAGATGTACAGGTGCTTCCTCCCTTAAACCCTGATAGGTTATGGAAGAACAGTCCTACAAAAATCAGCTTGTGTCCTATCAGTAAAAGGGAAGGGCAGGAAGGACATCAGTGGGTGGCATAATGGATGGGTGGTATGTGATGACAGATCAACAGGCAAGATTGATGAATCGATTGGTGGCTGATCTTCCCTTATTAAAATGGTGGCCAGAGTGGAACAGTCGTATTTTTGTACTATGTGTGTCTTACAGTGACTGTTGTAGTGCAAATGCTGTGGGAAATATCTTCACTAGCATGGAAGAAGTCCAGTTGCTAAGAAATGGACAGTGGATGGAAGCTGAGCAGAAAACAGCTTCCAAGTGAACCCTCGGCCTTATGTTTCTGGGCAGCCTTTCAGCATCCTTAGTGGGCACACAAAGAGTCTAGTGTGGGAAGAGAGAAATGTGTCTGACCTTGATCACAGAGGTCCCCATCGAATCCCCCGTTGCATTCACAGTAAGCCTCGCCTGTATCTGAGATCTGGCACTGCCCATGAACACACTGCAAGCTTTTGCACGGGTTATGGAGTTCTCCCTGCTGGTTGCACAAGGCCCCTTTATAGCCATCCTGGCACTGGCAACTGTAGGAGAGTGCATCAAGGGGTACACAGATTCCATGTACGCACCTGCCAATCAAGCAAAACATAAAGGTAAAAGTCAATGGATACAAGAGGTTGAGGTTAGGCTAAAGCTGCTTAAACCTCCCCACTACCTTGCATCAGAGGCAGCTGCAGATAAGGGATCTGCAACCCCTTCTATCTCATCTTTCCTTCGAAAGAAGCTAAACTACTCCTTTGATAGCCTCCCCAGCAAGGGCTAGGACAGAACTGGTTGTGAAGTGCATCATGCTCTAGGTGTGAAAAGAAAGGGGAGTGATGTTGAACAGATCTTAACAATGCCACACTCCCTGCACCAGTTTTCATTAAAGGCCACAGGAACAGGCACTTTTATTAACTCACTGCCCAGCATCCGTTATCCTATAAAGCAAAACCATGATCAACGTACATAAAAGTACATATTTCTTACTGAAGCTACTTTTAAATATAAGGTACAGAGCCCTTGCCTCCGCATAAGTCCCATAATCCCTTACAATTAGCCATGCTGGTTGGTGTTTCTAGGAATTATGATCCAAAAGGGCCTGGAAATCCTAAGGTCCCTGCTCATTAGGAAAAACTGCTGTCCCCCGCTTTGAAGGACAGGAAGGTCAAGTTTTAATATTCCTAGCTCATTCTAACTGCAACAGCTCTTTCATATAGCCTACTGAGTTCTGGGAGACTCACTCCTCTGCTAATTCTGTGGTTGGTTCCAGTTGCAGCTCCAACCGGCTTTGTCAGAGGTGAGCAAGAGAGGAAACATGGACAGACTGAGCTCATACTCAAACCAAGGGAGACTGATAGAGTTTTAACCATGCTGTAGCGTGAGTCAGGTTGTCAATATAGCCCAGCACTGTCTGCCAATGATTCTCGGGGTGGGGAAGTGGAGTGTTTACACAGTACCTGCTACCTGATCCCTCTGAACTGGGGGCACCAAGAACTGAACCAGGGATCTCTTGCATGCAAAGCATGTGCACCCTGCCACTGAGCTCTCCTCTTTTCTCTCCATTTGCTATGTTCTCTCCTCCATCCTGCACATGGCATTGAAGTGAGAGAGTTAACTCAGAAAAGAAAGAGAAGAGGAAAGGCATGGCACATTTCTGCATACTCACTTATGCCCCTGGCAAGGGTTGCTGATGGGCTGGTCACAATGGGGCCCAACCCAGCCTGGATCACAGTGGCAAATGGGACCATGAGCAGTGTTGGGTTGGCAAATGCCATGTAGACAGTAGAGCTTGCGGCAGGGCTCACAGCCAGGCACCACACCAGGCTTCATCTGGGTCTTAGTAAAGTCCTGCAGTTCATTGTTGATATACAGGTTACGAATGCAGCCATGGAAGCTGGAGCCATTCAAGATCTGCCACAGGCGGAAAGCAGCGGAGTTCACATCCACAGGCATCCCTAGTGGGGGAAAGCCAGAAGTAGCAAGATGAGGAGCAGCAAGGACAGGAAAGGAGTTGGGATGCTGAGGAAGAGAGAATGTGGAAGAAAAGAAGGAAGTGCTGGTTTGCTTGCACCCTTCCAATTCCCTCTTTTTATCACTGGGTCTTCTTACTTAGCCCCCAGCTAATGCATTCAGATTTCACCCTGTGGAAAAGAATGTGGTGTAGTAGTCAGAGTGTTAGGGAAGTCCAAGCCCTCCCAAGCCATAAAACCCATTGAATGCCTTTGAGCTGCTCAGCCTCTCACAACTTGATCGGACCTCTAAGAGGCGAGCATGGGAGGAAAATAGAGCAGCTTGTCCAGACACCTCAACAGGAATACTCCTTCCTCTCACAGCTATATTGTGCACAGGCTACAGTCCTACCTCCCACATAGAGTGGAGCTTCAGAATTCAGTGTGTGGGCCTTGCCAAAGCCATCCATGGTCATGGGGTCACCGCCATCAATAGAGAGGTTTACCATCCGCTCAAACGTCACCAGTTCCACTGTATGGAACTGTCCATCATTGATGGTCTCTGCACTAGGGAGAGAAGAGAGGGGTGGGATGGGAAAGCTGCTTGGTGCCCTCAATCAATCCCATGAAACTTGACATCAGACAGCATCCAAAATTCAAATTCAGTTCCCATGTACGTTCACCTCTGGTGTTCTCCACAAACATCTTCCATCATTTAAGTTCTGCTTTAACTCAACCCACTGGGCCACAAGGCTGCCTCCTCATCCTCCTGGTTGATACGCAGGTTCCTGAGCTACCCCAGGAAACATTCACTCAGATGGTAAGGGTTGTACTGAGACTGGGACAAAACCAAAGGTACAAGGCTACCTGTAAATGGCTGAGCTGGGGTAGGACCCTGGATCATAGCTGACACGCACATGGCCTTGATATAGTTCCACAGCCATGTGGTCTGTGTCCCCATTATACAAGAGGATCCCATTGTCTTCAGCTGTGGAGACCTGTGAAGAGCAAAGAAGCCAACAAAGAAGAGATTAAAAATGCATTCTGCACTCAGCTAATTCCCACCAGTGAATCAGAGGAGAAGGAACAGGAGAAAGGGAGGCGAATGTCAGCAACTCTTACTTGCAAGGTGATGTTGGCACTGGGCCAGTTTTGCAGATCAGTGAACTGGAGGTATGTATCCCGATCCACAAAATTGACACTCAGCAGCTTCTCACATTTGGGCCCTCCGAAGCCAGGAAGGCATTGACATAAGGCACGACTGCCAAGCTCCACACAGTTGGCACCATTCTGGCATTCTGCCCTCTCGCAAGGGCTGGGTTGGAGAGGACCATGGGGTGGTATCTCACAGAGCTGGCCACTAGAAGAAAGCAAACAGAAGTCAGGTGAGCCAGCATACAGAGAACAGCAAAATATCTTGCTGAGATCACAGAGGCACCCATTTGCTCCACAGCATGAATGAAACACTGCTGGAACGTGCACCTAGATATATTCTCTGTGCTGGATATGATTGTGTGATGAAGCACTCCCAACTTAGTCCATGCAAGCACTCAGCTGAATGGGGTAATGATGTACAAGGACCACACTGACTCACCAGCAGAGCCTTTGAAAACTACTTTTTTAGACTACAACTCCCAGAATCTCCCAATCAAATTAGGAGATTCTGGGAATTGTGGTTAGAAAAGGCTTGTGCATAAAAGTCACCATAAATCCTAAGTCCCAGGGACCCAAATTTACACAATTCACTCAGTTTGCTCTCTCTGCCTTTTCTACAATAAAGAAATGGCCCCAGAAAAATTTCTACAGCTGCAGGGACAGGAGGAAGCTGCTCATATATCAGCTCTGCTGCCTCCATATTTATATATATGGACTGCTCCTGCCAGGAGGCTTAGAATGACTTGGAGAAGTTGGAGGAAAGCCACGAAGCAGCCACTAGGCAAAAAGGATCCACATCAAGCTTGTAAGGCCATGGACGATACAAAGACAAAATGTGTGAGATACACTCTTCTCCTCTTATGAATGCAGCCAGACAGTTTCTTCCCAAGACTTTAGCACATTTCTAGCTAAACAGCAGACCGTTCTCTGGCATGCCTCACTCTTGCCAGGGGGAGGTGTTACATACAGCACTGATGTTACCTGTCTGTCATGGGTTTGGAGGGAAAGTTCCATCCTATGGGGAGTGGAAGGCGGGACATCAGGAGGAGGGGCTGTACTGTATAAATATGAGATGCTGTGAGACACTGAGAGGACTGGGATGTGACGAAGCAGCAGCTGGGAAGAAGGAGCTGTTGTGGGAGTCTGTGTGTCAGACAGGGTACTACTGTGTGTCAGAGTACCAACCTGATAGGTTCAGGTGTCTGTTGGTTAGCCAGAACTGATAGGTTCAGGGTCTGTGCTTTAAGTTAAGGGTTCTGGGTGAACCAAACTGTATGCTTGTATGAGTGAGAATAAGCCACGTTACTTTATCCTATTCACCTGATTGTTTATTTTTCCCTGTGTGTATTTAAATACACTCTTCTCCTCTTATGAATGCAGCCAGACAGTTTCTTCCCAAGACTTTAGCACATTTCTAGCTAAACAGCAGACCGTTCTCTGGCATGCCTCACGCTTGCCAGGGGGAGGGTCCTCCAGCAGAGGACAGGTGTAGATGGGCATGCCGAGCTCTGCAGGATTCCTGATGGGGATTCAGGTATATCTGAATCCTATGTGTGTTCCTGACCATGTCCCCATCTGTCCCCTTACCTGTAGCCTCCAATACAAAGGCAGGAATACCCATTAGGCTCATCAAAGCACTGGCCGTTGTTCTGACACTTGTGGTCCAAGCAGTTATCATAATCCACACTGCAGTTATCCCCTGCATAGCCAGGCATGCATTCACATCTGGAGTAAGGGCAGAAGAAGCCACTCACAGCAAAGTAGATATCCCAAGTAGACTCTAGGCAAGGCTTAGGAAAGTTATTCGCTTGGAATACTAGTCCCAGAATTCCCCAGCCACCATGGATGATGAAAGAGGTAATCCAAAACAAACAAACAAACAAACTTCTGCAAGCCCCGAGTCTCCAACCATGGGTCCATGCTTTGCTTTTCTCTTCCCTCCCTTTTATAAGGCTCCACCCGCTCTACTTCTAGCTTCTTGGTCTATCATGTTTCGCCTTTTTCTCTCCCAGAGTCCCAACCAAACTCATCCCACCCCCTCCCCCACAGTTGTAAAGTCACTCACTTGGGTCCATCCGGGGTGGTCCTGCATATGGCCTCATGCTGGCAAGGGCTGAGCTCTGGGGAACAGACATCCACAAGCTCCTCGCAATAAGGCCCTGAGAAAGAGAGAAGGCAGGCTCAAGTCAAAGGCCCCCCAACGCCATCCTCTGCACCTGCTGCTCAGCCAGCTCCACAAGGGAATGGCAAGCATGAAGAGAGGGAAAGAAGGAAGAGGGAAGGACAGCTGGTCCTCTTCAATACCTGCACCTAGAGTGACAGAATCAACTTGCAGGAGTTCCTATCAATCACCGACTGCTTGGCTGTTTCAGCATGCCAGGTACAAATGTCTACTTACAGGAAACCTGGAATGTTCCCAAAGGCTTTTGAAAATCAAGTCACATGCTTGAGCTATTCCGACAGAACTAAACATGTTGGTCTCTTTCAGCTCCAACAACAATAACAAGGAAGCAGAATCAAAAGATATTGTGACACCTTTGAGACTAGAGAGTTATTTCATTGTGAGCTGAGCTAAATGAAAAGGGAAACAAAGGGAAACAAAAGAAGACATTCTACAACACTAGGGCCTCTTTTGCTTGTTCATCTTCTAATGTGATACAAGTTGTCTTCTGCCTTATGCACAGTGCTCCTGTGCATAAGGCAGACAGGATACATGTCAACACAAGAGCATAAATGGACACAACCCTGACATCAAAACAGCAACACGCAAGCCAGAATTAGAACATTTAAAGACCCCAAGATACTCTTAACGTATCTCAAAGCAGCTGCTGTAAAAACCTGATTACAAAGGGAGGCTTGATAGGGATCTGATGAAAGTGAATTTTAGCCATAAATTCTAGTGTGCATTTAGAAATTAAATAGAGATTGGGACTTCTTAGCACACTGTGGCTGAAATCTTGCTATGTAACTCTGCATGCACAAGTGGGGTGATATCATCAGTCATGGCAAATCACTGCTGATTAAAAGCTTCCTTCGGCTATTTGGGAGTGCATGAGGCTTCACTACATTGCATATGATTCACATGCCCTCTGAAATCACCTTTTATCAGGAGCAACCTGCCTTTAATCAGTGATTTCCTACTGCTGCTAATGTCATCCCTGCCAAGCACACAAAGCAGTGCAACAGGATGTCAGCCCGTGTATAGTAATAGGTTGGTTTTCCTGGCATTCTCGTGTAGAGGCATCTGGCTTCAGCAGAACTTTTTCATGAAAACAAAGATCAGTTGCATCTACACTTCAAAGCTTAGCCATTATCAGCCTGATAGATAAGATATTCATTCTGCCTAGTGCCAAGATGTCTAAGTAATTAGCAATTTGAATGTTTATAATGGTGAGCCCTCATCATACATAGAGCTTGGGTACCTTCTTCTCCAGTGGTTCAAGCTCAAGGGAAACCAGTTTTTCAGTTGGCAGTAGAGACCAGATTTACAAAACACTAATTGGCTAACCCTAGTGTAAATCATGTAGTCACTTGCACATTTCTTGCACACAGCCGGAGAGTGTGACACCCTAACACACAGTAAGCCAGTTTGCAAATCCAATTCCTTCTGAGCAAAGAAGTCTGGACATATTTCTTTCCCTTATCAAATACTGATTTGTGATAGTTTTGTGCCTCAGCACAAAAAGTCATGTGATAACACATCCCTAAGAGAAATACATTAGTATTGACTTTTTAATGCATGTTAATAAACAAGGAATAACTAGTTGATAGACTCCTGTTAGTTTTGCCCACTGGCATAAGTCCATCAGGGTAAATCTAGGTGGCAGTTTGTGTCTAGTTAGGAGGTCAAGAGTTGCATTTCTTGTTGCACAGCAATTGTGTGCCTTGGCACACAACAGGAAATATAACTCCCAAATTCCTGACGAGTAGCAATTTGCTGCTGGCATTTACATCACTATAAGCATTCAGCTAGATTCTGACCCATGCCTTAGAACATCTAGAGTGGTGGTGGTGTCAGTAAAAATACAAAACATGATGAAGGCTGAAATCCTTTGCACTGTAGACAAAATCTTCTGTAAGAATTAATTTGGTGAAGCTGTGCCTTCATGAAAAAAAGCAATACATCTTAAAATAATTCAGAATAGAGCCCATATTATTCAGTCTCAGGGCCCTTTTATTTCTATCTCAAGTTCACTCTGTTTAAGGCTTCTGCATCATAGTCTTTAATTATTCTATTTTGGACTATAAATTGGATTCACTGACTGCACAGGCAATGTCCCCTAACTATATCTGCACTGGTTTGGTGACAATTCTAGCATCCACAGGGGCAATTGATGGCATATTTGCACTGTCATGCCTCCCTTACCTGTGTAAAAGGGAAGGCATAAGCAGGTATAATTGGTGGAGCCATTAACACAGGTGCCACCATTCCTGCAGTTGCTGTTGTTGTTGCAATTGTTGGACTTCAAACTACAAGTTGGACCTTCAAATCCATCTGCACAGGAACACCTGTCAAAAGGGAAAGGAGAGCTATTTAAAAGTTGGAGAGGGTGGAAATTGTTTGCTTTGAAATGTTGCAGGAATCTTCTTCATGTGCCATTCTCAGGATGAGAATGAGAGGGAGCCTTGGTTAGTCTTGGGGGGGGTTGATTTTTTTTGGTCCCCCCCATTTCTGATGGGTCTTGGGGGTTTGTTTGTTTTTTGGTCCCCCCCATTTCCAATAGGTCTTGGGGTGGTTGGATGCTTTTGGGGTTTTCCTCCCCATTTCCGATGGGTCTTGCATTCATCCCTTGCTTTTTCCTTTGTTCTGTTGCATTTCCGACCTGGTCTCTTTGTTCTCTGTGCATTTGCAATCTGCGCCGTTTGTTTTCTGTGCATTTCCAATGGGTCTTGCATGCTTAATTGCTTTCCCTCCCCCTTTGGCTGGAAGGGATTAATCACGTTTCCAATGAGTCTTGCAGTGATTTTTTTTTCATGATTTTTTTCTTTGGCTGGAATGGATTAATTGTATTTCAATGCATTCCTATGGGAAATGGTGCTTCGACTTACAACCATTTCGAATTACGTCCATCTTCTGGAATGGATTATGGTCGTAAGTGGAGGCACCACTGTACTGCATAGTATCACACTGGGACTTTTGCCTTTGAGTGGTAGGATGCACAAGGAACCACGCTGGAGATTACTGGATTGAAAAGGAGCTAGAGAGGTTCGTGTTTCAAAAAAGAATTCTTGGATACATTGACTCAGAAGGAGGCTATCAGTAGGGAAAGAAAAGAGGGGAAAGCAGCACTAGATGGGCAAGAATAAGGCACTGAGACAAGAAGGTCGAGGGCACAAGAACCCATGCTTAAATGAGAAAGGCTCAGCTGTGGCTGCTTACACTTTATCTGCCGCTCACCAGTAATGAATAAGATTATTGCATTTTTCCTGGTTACTGAAGGTTTGATCATTGTACATTTCCTTGGGATTTTTTCTGATGAAGGGTACCACAAGATTGTATATTTTATATAAACATCATCATCATCATCATCATCATCATCATCATCATCATCATCATCATCATCATCATCATCATCCACCAATTTCAAAGCTGCATCTCTGGCTATGTTTGCATGCCCAAGCAAGATGAATGTATAAGCTAGTGTACACTTTATACAAGTGGCCATCTGTATGTGTTTGGCTGTGTCCTGCATGAAGATGTGCACACACCTATAAACAAATACTCTGGCTTCACATGTGCCACAAGAGTGGTGACCCTCAAGGCACAGGAGCCATATGTTACATTTTTTATACTCTGCAGCTTATTTAGCTGGGCACAGGAAACGGACATCAAAGAAATAGTGGTTTTCCCTCATGAGCAAGACATGGAATCACTCTATGGGGTTAGCGCCCTGACATCCTTAGACGATTCATCTCCCTGATGCTTGCTCTCCTCAGAGGCAGAATGTAGTGTGGCATGCGCAGGGAAGCAGCAGTTTGTTAGCCCACAAAGAACATTGTGTGCTGGCTTTGAAGATGCTGTGTTGTTATGGTGACGGAGATGAGAGGCCATTTAGCATTCTGGCAATTTGGGTGTACAGACGGGGCCAGGCCCCCATTCTCTGCCGATTGCCGGTGGTTTATTTCCAGCCACTTATTATAGTCTGTTTCTCAGAAAACTGCTCACACTGTACTGTGAAGGGTGGAGGTGGGAGGAGCCCTGTGCTGGGAGATCCACCTACAAACCAGAGGCCCAAGATGCTGGAATGGTGGTTAATTCAGGAACGTGCTGGGTCTTTTAATTGTTCCCCCGACCAAATCCCAATCCATGTTCAGACAAGAAAGAAAGAAAGAAAGCTGACTGTGGCCTTCAGAATCAGCATTTATGGTGGAGGTGGATTTTGTTTGATAGGTATCAGAGAGCAAGGCTGCATTGGTTGGGCAACATAAACAAAATGCTTTCCAGCCCTTTTACGGCCAATAACTCCCGCCTAAAGGAAGAGGTAAAGTATTCTGCCTGTGTCACGTTGACTTGAAGCCTTCTAGACAAAGGTTGCTGGTGTTCTCCTGATATATCTCTGCCACGGGTTCTCGGTGGGCAGTGCCTCTCAGAGCAATTGTGGATTTGAAAATTCCGTGTATAGCCAAAGCAATGCTTCCAATCCAAGACTCTGAGCTGTCACTTACATAAAGGTGGCTCTGTCCCCTTCAAGTGATAGGCAAGTTCCACCATTCTCACAAGGCCTACTGGAGCAACCATCAATAGAGAATTCACAATTTCTGCCCTGGAAGAAGAAAAAGGAAAAAAGTAGTCCTAGTTCAGGGACATAATTGCAGTGAATGCCTAAACTGAGTCAATCAAATAGATATAGAAAAGCATGCAAGCTCTGAGGAACATCCAGTCACGCCATCTGAGAAGATGCTACAAAAACTGGATAGGTAAAGGGAAATGGAAGGGAAAATACATTGAATTATGACACTGTCTGGAACATGGGTTTCTCAGTTCCAGAACTTGGTTCATAAAACCATGAAGAGGAACAGGAATTTGTATTATGTTCAAGTTAACCAGTTCTTTACTGGTTATTTGTTTTTTCCTAACAAGATTTCCTTTATAGATCAACTTTTATGTTTGTATATATTTTAATAAAGGAAGCTTGCAGATGAAATGGCCAGCCTCTCTTCTTTTTCTGAATATGGTAGCAGCTCTTGGTTTACTCACTTAGGAGCGAGAATGTATCTGGTCCATTCATGCTAATAATGACCAGCTGTACTAGATGTCAAACTGCAGGCTGGATATCTACTTTATACAGCGGAGGGGCAGGATCTGTTCTCAATCATCCCAGAGTGCAGGACATGTAATCATGGGATCAAGCTACAAGAAGCCAGATTTAGGCTGATTATCAGGAAAAATTCTTAACTGTTAGAGCAGTATGACAATGGAATCAATTACCTCAGGAGGTGGTGAGTGCTCCAATGCTGAAGGCATTGAAGAGAAATTGGACAACCATCTGTCAGATCTGCTTTGATTTGGATTCTTGCATTGAGCAGGGGGTTGGATTCCATGATCTTATTAGCCCCTTCCAACTCAATTATTCTATGTTTCTATAATTCTCTCTCTCTGAATCCAGCCTCCAGTTCAACTAACCCAGTTTAGACATAGTTTACTTGGCGATTCTTGATAGGGTATGGCTTTCTACGCAAAGAGAATTGGTTCCCTTTACCTTCCTTTCATGTTTCTCAACAAACTACAGTGGTGCCCCACATAGCGAGGTTAATCCGTTCCGGATTAACCTTCGCTATGGGGAAACATCGCTATACGGAACGGGGAAACCCATTGGAACCCATTCCAAATGGGCACAAAACTCACAGTTCTGCGATGTTTCCCCATAGCGGCAGCCATTTTCGTGCCCTCGGTAAGCGAGGGCAGGGTGCGAAAACGCTGCGTGCAGCCATTTTGGGTCGTCCGGCGGCCATTTTGGAACTGCCGAACAGCTGATTCCCCGACATCGCAATGCGAGTTTTGCCCATTGGAACTGTCGGTATGCCTTCGCATTAGCGATCCAAAAAAAAAAAAGGATCGCTATGCGAATTCGTCGTTATACGGTGTGCTTGTTAAGCGAGGCACCACTGTAATCATCTTCTGTCAAGCCTATTTCTCTTCAGCACACTTCTCACCTTGTAACTGGTGGAGCAAGTACAATGGTACGAATCCACGGGATCTTGGTGACATGTGCCCCTATTTTGACAGGGGTTAGAGAGGCAGGGATTACACTTGGCCTGGATAGTCAAAGGGGGAGGCCCTGCATAGAGGTGGAGAAGAGAAATGATACAAATAGGAAAGACAAATAATTAGCCAAACAATCACACATCAAGTCAGTCAAGGCACACTTAACTACATCTCACTGACAGGATGTGTAGATTATGGGAGAAAGAAGGGACATAAATTCCAGCACAGAACTTAGGCCTACGTTCATCTTGCAGTTCTTCCTCCAGCATTTGTCCTCCATAATCTTTCAAATTTCAGTGCTATGTACTGAATAACATATTAGTGGCACATCTCAGGCCATTGGTGGGATGCTGGAGTCCACAAACCATGCCAAATCTTATTTATTTATTTGATTTCCATTCTCTACCATAAGAACCTCTCACTCCACCCCCCCAACATGGATGAATACACAACCCACATGCTCCCACTCTCCCCACGTCTGTCTCCCAGTCTCAAAAGCTCCCGTCCCACAGCACTTGAGTCTACCTGATCTTCTCTTCCTATAAGGACCTGGAACTAAGGGGTCCCAACTTCAGCCCCAGTTTGGCTGGGGAATGGGTACGGTCAACTGAGGAGGGGAAATGGGGCCTCACATAGGCAAGGAATCCCTTTTTGGGCAAAACAGACATCTGGCCAGTCACCCCTGGAAAGTATCCCCCTTACTCTCCTCCCCATTCCTTGCCTTACCTTGGCACTCAAACTTCTTGGCTGGTGTGGTGAGCAGTAATTTGCCCTCCATCTCAGGAGGGCCAGTACAACGGGCAATGCCGGGTTCTTTGTAGCCAGTTTTAACCCAACCTGAAAGCCAGCGCATGTGGCAATCACAGTACAGGGGATTGGCACCAATTGCCCTGTGGAGGAAGAATCAGAATTTGCATGTTATTGTCCAAAGTACCAGTGCACCTGGCCTCCATTCCATCTGATCACTCTGGCTGCCTCCAGAGGCTCTAAATCTGATTAATAATCCCCACGTTTTCAGAACTAGACTTTGAATCTGATCTCAAAAATCAGGGTTATTGTATTCTGACATAGCATCTCTTTCACACTGATTAGGACTTGATATCTCAGTTCTTGATGCCAGATGTGCCATTTGCCTCCACTGAATCTAGTGTGTTTGCACCACCCATTGTTTGAGGCTGTTGTGCACTGATGGACTTGCTTAACCAGAGTCCCTAGGGTTGCTTCCCCTCAGCTGCTTGAATGGGGCTCATTAGCATATTCAGCAGTGTGTTGCTATATAATTTAAAGCATATGCAAATTGAAAGTGACCTTGCAATGAAGGCTCAGCTTGAAGAAAAAAAAGTCAGCCAACTATCAGAAAAACTACCAACCCAATGGTCCCCAATGTGATCCTAAATGTGGCCTCCCCATCTCTTATTCTTCCGCCCAGCTAGGTCTGCTGTCCTGTTTGACCAAGTGCATTTTAGGGGCTGATTTAAGCTTTTGTCCTCTGAAGATCAGAAAAATGACTTTTTAAGACTAGACATCTAGGATGATTAAGCGTCCCAAGTTCTGGTTCTTCTGCATCCTCCTGCACTGTTGTTGAGGATAACAGGCACAGCACAGCTGCCTTCCCAACCCAGGTGGTTTTCCACATCTGTCTGAACATTATGAGCCAGCAGAACCTCCTCATGTCTCCACGTTTACTTGCCTAACTTCTAGGGCACACGGCAGTGTTTGTAGCTAAGTTGCTTCCCCATTGGGGGAAAAATGCCAATAGGAACTTTACCAGCATTGCAAGAAAAAAGAAATTGGATCAGTTTCTATGACTATTTGGCATTCAGAACACAGCCACCCACACATCTTCTGCTGCAGCTTCAGTCAAGGCAGCCTTTCAAAACTGAACTAGGCTTCTGCCTACCATTGTTTCCTGAACAAACAAGAGAAAACATTGCTTATCCTTACAAGGTACAGCCCCTGAGTATGCAAGGACACACCAAACTGAGAATCAGAAGGAACAGATGTTCAATATTGATGCAGGTACTCACAAGTGAGATAAGGAGGTAACATCAGCAAAGATCCCCTCAGGGAGTGTAGCAACCTCATTTCCATGGAGGGAACTGCATACAAACACAGGCAACAATTCTTAACACCTGGAGTTTTGCTCAGATATGGAAGTAGGGGGAGGCACTGTGGTAACTGTCTTAATAAAGTTCCCATCTATGGGTGGATGAGTAGTGGAGGTTTATTTCCACCACACTTTATGTGACTGCTGACATATTAAAGAAACAGCATCCCATAGGCTCCAGGGAGGTGTGGAGTTCTCAGTCTCATGGAAGGAAGGGAGGGAAGAGGAGGAGGAACCTGTGGTAATAGCCTTGAACAGGAGCATAATGGGGGTTACAGGAAAACAAGGTACCTACAGCAGCCGTAGTGAGCGGAGACCCTCAAAGGCAAGTGGAGGAATACACTGCAGCGCATTGTAGCTGAGGATCCTGGGTGTTGGTGGGGAGAGGAAAGAACGGTTGAGATCATCAAACATTCTTTAAACACCTCTCCCCTACACTGTCTGATAAGGCTGTGTAAATCCTTTCCACTAAGTACTAGTTGCATTGTTCCTTTCAGCATTCTTGACTAGCTGCCCAAATAAAATTAGGGCATAAAATGGGGGGGGGGAGGGGGCGTTTGCACTAACTGTGCCCAGCCTATTATGAATATTATGGTAAAGTTCATCCCAGACTGGGCGTATATGAAGCTATTTGGTCTGAGTATACAATTGGAACATAGGTGATGACAAAGAAAATACTAGGATTGCTACCCAATTAATTTTTTGATGGGAAAAATACCATTCTACCTCACTTCTTATCAATTAGATAGCTTAATGACCAAAATAACTACTACTGTAGATAACTCAGTTGTTAAAAAAATAGCATGTCATTCATTGTTAAGATCATACTCTTAAATATACACCCCATCTCAAAAACTTAATTTTTGGAACCAGGATAGCACCTCTCAAATGGGATGATTCCAGGGATAACCAGTTAAAGATTTAAAGTAGCCATTTAACAAATAAAAAAGTAAACCATCTTGAGTAATGAAAACATTCAGTCTTCAGCTTGTCATTTAAACAACCATCAATTTACCTTTAGAGCTTGGGACCCTACAAGAAACAGAGCCTCATAGTCACACAGAAAGAGCACCCCATGCCCAACACAACTTTCATAATGGTGTAGCAGCTCTACGATCTTGAGCCAGTATTGGCATGGGAACTGAAGGCTACATGTGCTTGGGTCATATTGCTTCTGGCAAAGAATCTTAAGCAAAGTAGGTGTGGCATAACATCTAATGGACAACAGCATACTACTGTAGGTATGCATTCATGTTTAGACAACTGGAACCAGCAGCTCCCACTCCATTTAGTTGTGTTCTTTTTGGCAAAAGAATCCTGGATTGATCAGCAGCAGCTCAGTCAAGAGCACAACCTTGCTTTTCATATTAAAAGGATAACATCTGTCATTTAAAAAAAGCGCTTAGCCCTAAAGGAGCCTCTTCCTGCAAGTGTCAGTAATGCATCCTGTCTTTCTGACCTTTCGTCCAGATGTTGTGCTAGGTACTCACAAGGTGGTGAGCTGGCTCATATTGGTGAAGGACGAATTGCTTAGAGAGCTGATCTTGTTGTTGCTCAGATCCCTGTAAGAGACAAAAGCACTCTGCAAACTCGAATAGCTTTTTATAACTCGCTCTTCCTTCAGCAGCACTTTGCCCTTTTTTCATTTCCCAAATCACAACATGTCGGTTTTGGCATTCATGGAGACACCCTTGGGTGGAACAGTGGATCAAGAGTACAAATGTAGTAAAACCCTCTAATTTGCCTTGCCCTTCAGCAGCTCTTCCATGAGAACAATTGCATGACGTCACTCTTCTAAATCCTTTCTTCCTCTACCTGGTACTGCTGGAGAAGAGTCCTTATAAACCATGTCATGCAGGAAGAGAGGGAATTTTAGCACAGCATACCACTCTGAAGACCAGAGCTTCTATATACTCTTGAGTGGAGATGTGTTTTTCAAGCATCGAGCAAATCTTCAGATCAGTCCTATTAAGACCAGACTAGAGTTTCTGCTACATTTCAATAAATGGCAAGTAATATGAACAGGTAAGATCCCTGTGGGATTTCATAGGCAGACTATAAATACAGGTACAGGAGGAAAAAACAGTGATGCAGGAAGAAAGGCTATCCTGAAGCAAATGATGTAGAATCACATCTGGGGGGAAAGTCAGGAGGGTGGGACTTCTCCATACTTAGGGAACTGAATATCTCAGTCTCTCAAAGAAACTCAGTGTGGTATTGCAGAAGCAAGTCTACGATGCTCAGGAAACCTGAAACCAATGGAACCACAGAGCTGAGCCATTTAAGGGCTCCAGAGGATAAGGGTGATTTATCTATGTGGAGGAGAAAGAATAATCCAAAGAAAAGTAATTTTATTACTAGTCCACCCACTATCCACAGCCATATTCTATTCCCCCTGTTCCTGCTGACCTAACGTTCTCAGTTGTAGGATTGCCTCAGTTTCAGCTCCATTTGAAACTGCTTCCATAGCCAATAAGCTGAAATCTATAAACATTTCCTGGTAACTAATCTCCTTTATGTAAGATGCTTGGAACTTCCACGTGTTCTCACATCATCTAATGGTTAATTTAGAACAATTATCCTTGCCTCCTCTCAGACTCTTATGCATCCATGCAGAGGCAGGAATATTTTTTTCATCTTCCATATAATAAGGTATTTTGACCACCTTCTTGGTCTTCTAGGAAGCTCCTCAACTTCCAAGCAATATTGTAATGTCCATGGTTTTAATGAATATGGATTTGTGTATGTTTGTGTCAGAATAGGGTAAGAGACACTGCACTGAGCTGCACCCTTCAGCCTGACCTTCTGGTTCTCTGTTATAAAAATCTATAAGGTTTTTTACTGATGCCTCAGAAACAGCTTAGTCTCCTGATTTCACAAAAATATCCTGTCCTCCCCTCCCTTAAACCTCCGCATTTTTCTTAGTCCAGCAATTACAAGAGAACCAGACTATTCAATCATCTATATTAACTAGTGTATACATAGCAGAACCCCCCATTTAGTTTCTGTCCAAACACTTCCATAGACATGATTTTAGCATGTATACAGAGAATGGTGTAGGCTCTCAGAACTCTGCTTGAGACCAAGAGCTTACAGGACATCCTTAAATATTGCTCAATGTAGCAGCTATGATGCTTCATATTTTTCCAAATCTGGCATCTCTGAGAAGACCATAGTAGACTCTCTAGAAAACACAAGTCTCTTTCTCAGACACTTACACCAGCTGCAAGTAACGGAAAGTGGAAAGCAGTCCAGGAACCAGGGTGAATTGGTTACCATCCAAGTAGCTGCAACAGCAATGAAAAAAATGCATCAGAATTCGCACCAGAAGCACAAGAATCAAAATAAAACAAAACAAAAAAAGTTAAACTTCCAACAATGCTATCTGGAAAAGGACTCAAAATGTAGAGACTACAGCCAGGAAAAAGTATAAATTTCCCCGATGTTGGGAGACCAATGAATGAAAGCCATGTAAATAAGCTTGTGTCTATAAACTCCTAATAGAGTAAATAAGCTGGTATTCAAGAGCACATGCTTTTATTTGCAAGACCCAACATATGAAACCATATATATCTCATCCTCCTTTACATCCTTTCAGTGTCCAAGACACCAAATCTTCAACACCACTGTACAAGAGAATGGTAATAGAGGTCCAGGCGACCTGCTACATATATACTTCTAAGAGTTCAACATGCATCTCGGTTTAAGAGAAGCCCAAACACAGGACCTGCATTGGTATGGGGCTTACAAGGATATGGTTGACTTGCAAAGCAAGGGGGATGAAAACTGAGTGCATCACTTGGTTGCAAGTTGCCAGTTCCCATAATGCCTCTTCCCCTGTGTAGTATCAGCAGAAGGGTCCAGCCAGCATTACTCACAGCTCTGTGACATTCTTGGGTATCCCTCTGGGCAGGGATTTCAGGTGCTTGTTGCTACAGCGGACCACAGTGTCTAAGCAAGTGCACTCCTGCGGACACTGAGGGCGTGGGAAACAGCTTGTCTCCTCCTGACCTGCTGAGAGACAAGCCAAAGTATTTGCAGTGGAAAGAGGAGGAGATATGAGAACCCTATTTCTTCCAGATCTTTCCAGGAAAGTCTTGCTCTTCGTCTACACTTACATAACTTACCACATAAAATTCACTTTGTAAAGTTTCCTGTATCTTTGAAGGATCAAAGGAATTGGCAGCAAGTAGAGTTGAGAACATTAATCAACTGATAAGATGAATTCATTGCAAATAAAAATGTGGATCTTAATTAGAAAGGACGTGAAAGGTCTCATTAGCATCTGTGTTCTCTTATTGATTAGCACAAGGGTCTGAATCCACAGAAGCGCACTAAAAAAGCAAAACGACTGTTAATTTATTTTAATAAGGATCAATCACTCCCCCCCTCCATCTTCACACATCCATATAATGTCAGAAGCTAACGTCTGGATCAGGGCCAATGGCTTAAGATGATTTGCCAATCAGTAAAATGACTCTGTTTCAAACATTTCCAAGATACTGTTTGCTTTCAGGTCTTGTATTTAATCAACCTGAGTGGCTCAACAGCTGATTAAAGTGCCTTGCTCTTAACCAATTAATTGACTAGTTTCACAAAAACTTGAAATTGACTGACAGACCTAAGAACAGCCCTATGTTACACCCTAACAGTGTGTAATTTAACATTTTTAGTGTGGTATTTGTTTGTTCCTTTTTAGTATTTGTATATTTACTATTGTTAACTTTAGATATTGTCTTTCAATGATGTTAGCAACCTTGAGTCAGAGTAAAAATATTTTAAATAAATAAATATATAAACAGTTTAGGAATTGTGCATCCCTGGTGAAGTGCTCCACCCCATTTCCAGGGGTTGGGGGAAAGAAACTGGAGGACAACAGTTCCCAGAATGCTGGCTAGGGGATTCTGGGGGTTGTAGTCCAAAATTAACTTTTCCAAGCTCTGTCTTTTCTAGCACGAACATATTATGCAATATGACAACAGTGAAAAAATGACCACAAAGTCACTGCTGAGGTAAGCACTTAATATTTATTTCTTTAAAATATTTTACCCCACTTTTCTCCTTATGAAAGGACCCTAAGTGGCTTAGATCATTAAAAGACAGTGTTTCAACCCAAAAACAATATGTATATGAACTTGAGAAAAGATCAAGTACCACACTACAACATGATAAACAACAACAAAAAACATTTAAAGTAGTAAGGCACAACAATCCATTTAACAACCCCACCCAGACAGCCAGTCGCTGAGAGACAGCAATGATGGGGCTTGGCTAGCCTCTTGTGGGAGGGGGTTCCAAAGTTTGGGAGAAGTGACAGAGAAGGCCCTCTTCCGTGTCCCCATCAAATGCACCCATGACAGTGGTGAGACTTAGAGAAAAGCTTCTTGTGATGGCCTTAACACCTAAGCAGGCTCATAAAGGGAGATGCATTTCTTGAGAGAGCTTGTGCCCAAGCTATTTAAGGGCTTTATAGGTTAGAACCAGCACTTTACACTGTGCCCAGAAACAGATTGGGCAGGCCAGTGGAGCTACTATAAGGGGGTGTTTTCTGATCCCAGTGACCAGCCCCAGTTAGCAATCTGGCTGCTGTGTTTTGTTCCTGCTGAAGTGTCCAGATACTTTCCAAAGGCAGTCCCAAGAGAACTGCACTACAGTAACACAGCTGGGACGTAAGTAAGGGCATATGGCACCATTGCCAGATCAGACCTCTTCAGCATAGTCATGCTGGCCGACATTAGAGATATTTCAATTTTCTATTAATTATATTTTTATATCACACCATCTAATGATCTTGCCACTACTCTGGGTGGTTTCCAGCAATAAAATAAACATACAAAGAAGAGTCAAAGCCCAACAAAACCAAAATATAAAATAAGAAAGATCTCTTACAAGAGAACAACAGATCTAAAAATCAAGATGGTGACAGCAGACAAGATAAAGGATACAAGGTGTAACCATCAAAATAAAATAAATAACCAACAGTTATAAAGGGAGGATATCCTGAAATGCCTCCCTGAAAAGCAGAGTTTGTATGTGCTTCCTGAATATTACAAGGGAAGGGGCTTGGTCTACCTCCACAGGTAGAGCATTGCATAAAGAGGTGGCCACCACAGAGAAGGTCCGGCACCTAGCTGGATTCCCTTGGGGTGGCCTCCCACAGCATCAACACCTGGGAGGTGTGAGTGGCACAGGAAGTAAATCTCATGGAGAGGTGCTTTGATAGGTAGTGAGGTCCAAAACCATTTAGGGCCTTGTAGGTCAACATTAGTAACTTGAATTTGGCATGGAAGCAAACCGACAGCCAATGCAAGGACCAGGGAAATATGATTGTACTTTGAAGTTCTCAAAGTTAGCCTGGCCACCGCTTTATGTACTTGCTGCAGCTTCCATCCCACCTTCAAAGGCAGCCCCAAGTAGAGAGCATTGCAATAGTCTATCCTTGAGATTACCAATGCATGAACACTAAAAGGGTCATTCCCTTTTAGGGAGCAGGGGGAGACAGTCTATCCTTGAGATCACCAATGCATGAACACTAAAATGGTCATTCCCTTTTAGGGAGCAGGGGGAGAAGAAGCACTATCACCAATCAACAGCATACACACTGCACCTTTCAGCCCTTTTCTGAATAGGATACCCACAGGTGTCCAAGAGGGATGACATACATGCAAACTGTCCATGCTGGTTGGGTAATTCTGGGAGCTGTGGTGGAAATAATGATCATTTCAGAGCTACATACACATTGCTTCCTCAGTGGATGTTGCTTTTTTTTGCCTTTCACCACTTTGGTTTGCCCCACCCCTACCCCAGGGTATATTTTCAACCCATCTATTGAAGGTTGTACCAACTTACTCAAAGAAACATAAATTATTTTTTGGTTTGGGGACGGGTATCTGCTATGAACTAAAACCAGGCTTGATAACTGCTCCCTCCCCATCCTTGCTGAGCGCTTCTGAGTTACCTTCCTCACACCTGAAGTCTGGGAAGGCCACATCCTGCAGTGGGATTTGGCGCAGGAAGTCTGGATTATGACAACGTGGATTCCCAGTCACAATCTTCCTCTTGCGAAGCCAGTCTCCCAGCCAGGCCAGATGGCAATTGCAGTTGAAAGGGTTAGCCAACAGGTTCCTGGATGGAAGGAATACAGTAGAGGGATAAATAACCCAGACTGGCACAGGACAGAGTCTGCTTAAAGGGCTAGCAGACAAGTAAAGATTAACTCCGTCTTTCGTCTGAGGCCCCACACCCATTTTGCAGCATACATTCCTAAGAAGGTACTGTATAATCTCCATTCTTTGGTAAAATATTCTGAAAGGTGAATGCTTGTGAACATAGGAGAACCAACTTATATATAGCTAGTCCCTCTGCCTCATTTGTTCTGTAATTATCTGCAAACAGTTTTTCCCAATCTCGGGTACTTAGAGGTTGCTGGGCTTCAGCTCCCATCATCTATATTTGGCATGACCAGTGGTTGGAATTGATGGGAATTGGTGTCCAGCAACTAGGAAATCAAGCATGGAAAAGACTGATCCACACTGCTTAGTAGCAGGATCTGCAAGGCTTAAGAAACAGACCACCCAGCACAACTTTAAGCTTAGACAGCTTTATAAGAGGATTGGGCAGATTAATGGAGGGCAAGGCTATCACTAGCTAGAGACCATTATACAATAGGACCATGGTACCTGCTGGGGATCAGTTCCAAGTCTCTCCCATGGATGCTGGAAACCACGGATATAGTGAACCCTACATACAGCATACAGTGGGATGTGGTGGCGTTGCGGGTTAAACCGCAGAAGCCTCTGTGCTGCAAGGTCAGAAGACCAGCAGTTATAAGATTGAATCCACGCGACGGAGTGAGCTCCCGTCACTTGTCCCAGCTCCTGCCAACCTAGCAGTTCGAAAGCATGTAAAAATGCAAGTAGATAAATAGGTACCACCTCGGTGGGAAAGTAATAACATTCTGTGTCTAGTCGTGCTGGCCACGTGGCCACGGAAATTGTCTACGGACAAACGCTAACTCTACGGCTTGGAAATGGGGATGAGCACCGCACCCTAGAGTTGGACACGACTGGACTAAATGTCAAGGGGAACCTTTACCTTTACCTTACATACAGCATAGTCTTTGGATACCTCTAGTGGCCAGGTCTGGGAATATTCTTTAGAAATGCATATTTCTCAGCTTTTTTATTTAGTATTTTCAGGCAGCAGGTACTGATCCCATGGATCCCACAGTCCTACTGTATGTGTCCCTCTCCATACTCATTGTTAGTGGACATGAGTAGGAAATGCTATTGCATTCATTTCTTGCTTATTGGCTTCACATAGTTTGGTCACTGTGAGAACAGAATCCTGGCCTAGATGGTCCTTTCATGTAATCCAGCACAATTTCTGACATGTTCTTCTATATTTCCCAGCAATGTGATATCAGAGCCTTTTGTAACTCAAGAGGCCATAGACTAATAAAAAACTTTTGGCAGTCAAAGCACGTGCTCTACTACTGAGCAAAGAACCCTCCTTAGTATCAAATGCTTTAGCAGAGTGCCTCACATTATGACCTTTGAGGTGGGAAATCCTCAAATCTTACTTCAGTGTAACTTTTAATGTAAACTGTATTATGTACTTTTTAAATAATATAGTAGAAGTGGTAATACTAACAGCAGCAGCAGTGGTAATTTATCATCCTCAGCCCATTCTGTAGCATCAAAGACAAATACAGTGGTGCCCCGCAATACGATATTAATTCGTTCCCCGAAAATCGCTGTTTTGCGAAAACACCATCTTGCGAAATGCGGTTCCCCATTGGAATGCATTGAAATCCATTTAATGCGTTCCAATCGGGAAAACTGTCGTCATTTTGTGAAAATCACCCATAGGAAAACCATTTTGCGAAGCGTGGATCAGCTGTCAAAATCGCTGTCTTGCGAAAAACGGTCCCGAAAACACCCGTTTTGTGATTCGCGGACCTAGCTGTCAAAATCATCGTCTTGCGAAAAACGGTCCCGGGGGGAAAAAGTCTTGCAAAGCACGGACCGAAACATCTTCCAGCAAAAATCGCCCATAGGAAACACTGTTTTGCAAAGAGCTATAGCAATTGCAAAAACTCATTATCTAGTGAATAAACCGTTTTGCGAGGTAATCATCTAGCGGGGCACCACTGTAGCAGATTCCACAACTGTTTAGCAGACCCAAGAGACAACTGCAAGCTGCCATTTCTAATTTCTCACAATGACCTGCAATAACCTTATTTTGAGAACATTGTGGGGAAATCTAAAATGGCAGCAAAAATTAAAAAAAAAAAAAGATGCTTCTGCTGGGCCTAGAGAGCTGTCTGTGGATTCTACCAGAGCTCCTGGCGGGGACCTGCTTGTGTTCCCAGAAATATCAAAGTGGATTACTCAAAACAGAGACAGAGAGCACTTTCACTGAAAAGGCTTTTTAACAAATCAACTGCAGGGCACTGATACTCCAAAGGGAGGAAGACTGATGAGACGTTTACACTGGCCGTAGTTACGATTTTCCTGCCTCGTTACTCACAGAGTAGAGAGTGATTGCAGTGTGTCAAAAGCACCAGGTGAAATAGTGCTGATCTGATTGTCATAAAGGGAGAGAAGGCGTACATTGCGCAGCCCAGTGAAACTGTCATTGTGGACGCAGTTGATGCGGTTGTTCCTCAGCATCCTGGAATGAACAAAGAAGATAGAAAGAAGCATCTCCGACAAGTTATCCTTTGGTACCCTAGGAGTAGGTTTGGCTGGTGTCCTCATATACTAACAACCCACCAGTGTTTTCATTTCATATCTATGGCATATCTAATGAGGGGCAACTTACAGTGTCCGTAGCCCCTCAAGGCCCCGGAACATGGCACTGCGGACGGATTCCAGTTGGTTAGCTGTCAGGTGTAACTCACTGACTGAGGCTGCCCCCTCAAAGGCCCCATCTTCGATCTCTGACACCTTGTTGTTGCTCAGGTTTCTGGGAAAACAAGGAGCAAGAAAAACAGAATGAGAGAAAAATGCTCAGGTCACAATCCAAAAAGAAGCTCTTCACTCCAACAGAACGAAGAATGGTCATGATATTTCTAACAGAGGCAATCTACGGAATTTATTTTGTTACTATGTCCCCTCAAGTAATTTCCAACTTTCCAAGCCGCCTAGAGTGGTCTTTTAGGCCAGATGGGTGGTGTACAAATATAAATAAATAAATAAATAAATAAATAAATAAATAAACAAACAAACAAACAAACAAACAAACAAACAAACAAACAAACAAACAAACTTATTGTGGGAGCCTTTTGTTCCTCTGTGAGCCATCCTTCCAGCCACCACGGAAGTTTCCTTGCTTTTAATTGTTAAACAGTGACTTCAAGCAAGACACATTTTAAAACCATTTATTTTTTTCTGCTTTAAAGAGTCTAGACTTGCTTGTATCTGTCATATTGCTAAGAAACACCTGACACTTTTCAAAATGCTGCCAACCTATAACCTATACCTATATTGCTGTCTTCTTTCCCCCACATTTTGAGCAGACCTTGAGGAAATCTTCAGAATGTCTCCTCTCCTGTCCCTCACCCCCATACTCACATTTTCTTTAAGTGTGAAAGCTTCTTGAAGATGCCGGTGGCCTCCAGTACGGTAATCTCATTATTGTTCAGGCGCCTGCAAGAGAAAGCAAGCAAGATAAACACGTAGATCTCAGAGTACAACTGAGCAAAAAATAAATACATAACACCTACACTGCCCTTTGAACAATACAGTACCATGTTTTCTTACACACAGATCATATTAGAATAAGGAGAAAGTAGAAGCTGAAGTGGCATAGAGAAAGTCTCAGGAATGGAAAAGGACAAAAAGTCATTTTAATTGTATTCTGTGAAGTGCTTGCATATAAAATGGGTTCCACACTCAGGATGTTTCAATACTACATGATGTGTAGTTACATCTCCCATTTTATCTTTTATTAATTTCAAGCACATGCAGGTCTCTACTGTGAATTTAGTTTATTAATTTAAAATATTTTTACGCCACCTTTCTTCTTGAAAAGGACTCAAGGCAGCTTACAACAATGGGCATCTTGAATTGTCTGTGGTGATTTCTAGCGTGGAGCAGAAGTTGTTGATTAAGCAACACATAGATATTGGCAAGGTGAGTTGGGACATTCTACCATAATCTCTCTGTGAAAGGGACCTTGGGAAGGGACAGGTAAAATTCTGAGAGACTTTGCAGAAAACTACTTTTCTGATCCCTTTGACAGAGAAGATGAATTTCATTTCCTTTTTGAGAATCAGGGGAAAAATTCCAAGGTATTTCCAGCTTTAGTCAATACCCAAATTTATCAGTGAAAGACTATTTAGGTAGTCTGGGCTGCAAGGAGAGCAAACCTATCCATTCTGAAGGAAATCAACACTGAGTGCTCACTGCAAGGACAGATCCTGAAGATGAGGCTCCAATACTTTGGCCATCTCATGAGAAGAGAAGATTTCCTGGAAAAGACCCTAATTTTGGGAAAGAGTGAAGGCAAGAGGAGAAGGGGACCACAGAGGATGAGATGGTTGGACAGTGTCATCGAAGCTACCAACATGAATTTGACCCAACTCTGGGAGGCAGTGGAAGATAGGAGGGCCTGGCGTGCTCTGGTCCATGGGGTCACGAAGAGTCGGACACAACTTAATGACTAAACAATAACAAGTGTATGTAGTTGAGGGGACTAAAACACAATCTAGCGCAGTGGTTCCCAATCTTGGGTAACCCAAGTGTTCCTGCATTGCAATTCCCAGAAGCCTTTACTACCATCTGTGTTGGCCAGGACTTCAAAAACACCTGGGTCACCCAAGGTTGGGAACCACTGCTGTAGAGTCACAGAAGCTTCTTCTAGAACAACAGTTCTTTGAATCTCCAGATGTTTTTGGACCAAAACTGCTAGAAGCCTTCACCACTAGCTGTGCTGGCCAGGATGTCTGGGAGTTGTAGTCCAAGAATATCTGGGAACCCAAGGTTAGGAAGCACTGTACAATAATCTAAACAAAAAAGGGGGCTATGATGCCTCTTTAAATTCTTATTCTTAGATTTGCCCCTTGGAGGAAGATGCCGATATATTTTTTGCAGCTGCTGATTGCAGAAAGAGAAAGAATCAGGCAAAAGTGTAGGGCATTTTGCTCTCCATGCCCTCACCTGCTTGGCCCGAAGGAAAGGGCATAAAGTAACCTTGTTTTTGGTGTCAAAACAAGCATAGCTCTTGTTATTTTTGCCTGCCAGAGTATCAAAGTAAAGAAAGGTGTGAGAAAAAATGTGTGTGTTGTATTATTACAGTTCTTTGGAGGAGTGGACGTAGCGATAAGATCCAGAGAAGGCATGTGATGGCTTGGACTTTGAGAGTGAGGAAGAGAGTAAATTGCTAATGACAAGGCAGGTCTGAGACTTACAGTTCAGTGGTGGCCTGCGGAAGGCGCTCTGGGATCTTTGTCAGCTTCAGGTTGGAACATTCCACCACATTGGCTTCGCAGCGGCACTTGGGTGGGCAGACCACATCGCTATGGCATTCACTGTTCAACTGATAATCCTCTGTACCTGTCAGGAAGAGAAAACATCCCCTAGTGAGAGTTTATGTAGATAATAAAAGTGTGTCTGTGTGTGTGTGAGAGAGGAGGGGCACAGAGGGAGGGCAGAAGATCCTCATTTCTGAGTACTTTCCAGTACTGGGTCCATCACAAGCTCTTTTGCTGCCTGAGCCTGAAGAACGGGTGTTATCCTCACTGGCACATCCAAGTTAAGGTGTATATTGCACCTATAATTAGTGACATGACTGTAACACTTTAGGCAGAAAATCCACAAGCACCTTAAACTTGACAATAAAAATATAATTATAGCAAAGTAAGTTTGGAAAACTCAACAGTGGCCAGAGGATTGGAAAAGATCAGTCTACATCCCAATCCCAAGGAAAGGCGGTGCCAAAGAATGCTCCAACTACCATACAATTGCACTCATTTCACACGCTAGCAAGGTTATGCTCAAAATCCTCCAAGGTAGGCTTCAGCAGTATGTGGACCGAGAACTCCCAGAAGTACAAGCTGGATTCTGAAGAGGCAGAGGAACTAGAGACCAAATTGCAAACATGCGCTGGATTATAGAGAAAGCCAGAGAGTTCCAGAAAAACATCTACTTCTGCTTTATTGACTACGCAAAAGCCTTTGACTGTGTGGACCACAGCAAACTATGGCAAGTCCTTAAAGAAATAGGAGTGCCTGACCACCTTGTCTATCTCCTGAGAAACCTATATGCGGGACAGGAAGCAACAGTTAGAACTGGATATGGAACACCTGATTGGTTCAAAATTGGGAAAGGAGTACGACAAGGCTGTATATTGTCCCCCGGCTTATTTAACTTATATGCAGAATACATCATGCGGAAGGCTGGACTGGAGGAATCCCAAGCAGGAATTAAGATTGCCGGAAGAAATATCAACAACCTCAGATATGCAGATGATACCATTCTGATGGCAGAAAGGGAGGAGGAATTAAAGAACCTCTTCATGAGGGTGAAAGAGGAGAGTGCAAAAAACAGTCTGAAGCTCAACATCAAAAAAACTAAGATCATGGCCACTGGTCCCATCACCTCCTGGGAAATTGAAGGGGAAGATATGGAGGCAGTGACAGATTTTACTTTCTTGGGCTCCATTATCACTGCAGATGGAGACAGCAGCCACGAAATTAAAAGACGCCTGCTTCTTGGGAGGAACGCAATGAGAAACCTAGACAGCATCTTAAAAAGCAGAGACATCACCTTGCCAACAAAAGTCCAAATAGTCAAAGCTACGTTTTTTCCTGTCGTGATGTATGGAAGTGAGAGCTGGACCATAAAGAAAGCAGACTGCCGAAGAACTGATGCCTTTGAATTGTGGTGCTGGAGGAGGCTCTTGAGAGTCCCCTGGACTGCAAGGAGAAGAAACCTATCAATTCTAAAGGAAATCAACCCTGAGTGCTCACTGGAAGGACAGATCCTGAAGCTGAGGCTCCAGTACTTTGGCCATCTCATGAGAAGCGAAGACTCCTTGGAAAAGACGTTGATGTTAGGAAAGTGTGAAGGCAAGAGGAGAAGGGGACGACAGAGGATGAGATGGCTGGGCAGTGTCTGCGACGCAACCAACATGAATTTGATCCAACTCCGGGAAGCAGTGGAAGACAGGAGGGCCTGGCATGCTCTGGTCCATGGGGTCATGAAGAGTCGGACACGACTAAACGACTAAACGAACAAAATGACTATCAATTTGTTGCCCTTTCCAAGACCCAAGTCTGCTGCTTATGGTGCTCACCCCATTCTGCCTAATGGTTGGGTTGTCTCAGCTAAGTGTCCTCACTTGATCATCCTGCAATACTTCAGTGGAGTTCATTCCACAAAGAACTAGGAAACTGAGATAATCTACAGGATGCCAATTTTCCTTTCTCCTCTGAAGTACAGTACAATAAGAGACACCTTTTGGCTGAGGCTATGAGGCTGACCTAATCAACATCTTGTTTCCAACAGTAGCCAACTAGATTTTGTGCTGGGACAGTTAGGTAACCAAAGAAAGACAGAAAAAAGCAAGGCAATGGCAAAGGCAATTTTCACTTCAGCCTCATTTCCAGCTTAGTAAGAGAGGAGAAAAAGAGTGAAGACTCGGGGGGGGGGTAAGGTAGCTCTTCTTTGACCACCCAGATTTGCAAGAGGCACAGTTAGAGGAGAGCTAAATTAAAAATTCATCCTCTCTCTCTTAGTATTTCTTGCTCATTTCTTTTCCTTTGGCTATCTAGCTGCCCTAGTGTTAGATTAACTTTAAAAGGAAGGAAAGAAAGGAACAAGAAGGGAAGATGCAAGTGGACCCAGGCATGTTGGGAGGGGGGGGGGAGAGGATTCAAACAGTAGTCAGTTTTCTTGCTGTCCTGCCTCTCTCACTGCTGTTGTAGCTGGTTAGAATAGCTTCAAATAGAAATGTTACAAACCTCTCCACAGTGGCTCAAGTAATCACACTGTCTGGACCAATGTGAATGCATCCAATGGAAAAAAAACACCATGTATTTGGGCACTGACTCTCTTTTATTCTATCGTACAGTGGTAATTAGATTGCACATCTGGAGAGACATAAAGCCTTTCCAAACACTGATCTTAGAATTCAAACTGGCAGGAAGACACACAAAAACACTGTAGAGTCCCTGGAAGGCTAAAATTAAAGCATTATAGTCTTGTTGACAGCTCATAGAAGGAGGTGGAAAGTTTTAGGAAAATACAGTAGTGGTAAAAAGCATGGTCCCTCTGCTTCCTTTTTGCCTCCTGAAATCTCTCACTTTGATTTGGCTACAACTCTGTATCTGAACACTTTATTGAAAGAAAGAAATGCAGGAATAGACAGACAAAGAATGCACATCTGTATGTTTGGTTTCTGAAATGTGAAGAATGTTGCATCCCTGCCAATCCTCATACCCATTCCCAGGATACCTTTCCTTTTCCTCCTTCTCCTCTTCCAGCAATTGATACCTTCAACATTTCAGAGCTCAACTGTCTTAAGTAACCTATAGGTCCTTGAAATTGTTAATGTCATGCCACTTTGTTGTTTGTTTGACTGATTCAAAAATATTTTCCTCTCATTTACAAACGGTATACTTCTATTTGCCTAGACAATCCCATAAATATGCAGAGCCCACTGCTATATTTTGGGGCTGAACTGTTATGCTTTCAAAAGTATGTCATTAAAATAAGTTCAGTTTTAGAATGATTCTTCACAATCAACCTGCCAACAGAATGAACTTATTCAGACAACTAACTAAAGATTAAAAATATTATTTTCTTAAGTTACAGCTCCCAGTGTTTCCCAGTCAAATGATATTTCTAAGTTCTATAATTAACATACAAACTCCAGCACACTCACACTCTAAAGCTGTTTCCTTACCTGGAATGAAATATTGCTCCTTGGCTGTGAACAAAAATGTACAAAAAGTGTTAACCCAAATGTAGGAAATGTATGATACAAAAGGCCATGCTATTCTGGTTTTTTTCCAGACATGACAGAATAAATACATACCCTGGAATGCACAAAAAAGAGAGACAATGTCTGTTTCACTCCAGATACATGTGCTTTAAAATAACAGCAGCACCAGCAATACTACCGGTGTCCATGCAAGTTTTATGTAACTTGCCCTGGATAATTACCACTAATTGATGATATGGCAGGACATATCTCAGTTGTATAATGGGCACATGACCAGACATGTGACTGAGAGATGCCCCAGCACCTTGTCAATTAGCCGTGGCAAGTAATTGCCTATATAATTCTGGCTAGCATATTTATAAGCTCATTATTATTAATTTATGAAGCAAAACAGACATATCTACTCGCAACTTGGAGAAGTTACTTTTTGTGTTAGGACTCCCAGAACCCCTCCAAGCAGCATGAACAGTGGATAAGCAAGCTGAGGGATTCTGGAAGCCTCAGTAAAAAAAAGCACATTTTCCAACTTCTGCATCTGCTACAGGATAGATAGATAGATAGATAGATAGATAGATAGATAGATAGATAGATAGATAGATAGATAGATAGATAGATAGATAGACAGACAGACAGACAGACAGACAGACAGACAGACAGACAGACAGACAGACAGACAGACAGACAGACAGACAGACAGGTAGATAGATCAGTTTATTAGCCAATGGCCATCAAAGTGCTCAATAACAGAGCTGTGACATATGATTATTTTCTGACATGAGGGTTAAATTTTTTTAAAGGGTTCTGACATTTAATTATTTCATTTTCAAAATAAGCCAACCAATTTATGTTGAACAAAGTAAAGCTTGAAGTTTGTTCCCTAAGTTGGTGGACCAAGGGGACTCATTTTCCCTTGGGGTGTCTTCAGTATTTGGACAGAGGATGCTTTATTGTTTATGCATACTCTGATTACTTCTTTGGACACAAAATGTCTCTATGATTTTTTTTAAAAATGGCTTGAATTGAATGGCTGGAAGAGAGCCAATGTGGTTCGATAAAAAAGAAAAAGAAAACAGAGGAGACAGAAGTAACTTCTACAACATCTTCCCACAGACTTCACTCGTGTGTTAGAGACAAAATCCCTGCATAAATTAAGTGACAGAGACCTGCAGGCTTTGCATATCATTTCAACCCCCCCACCCCAAATCAAGAAGCAGCCCTACAGAAAAAAAAAGTTGCTCCTACGGGAACAGCGGAATTTCTTGCTCTTGATCTGTCCAATGCGCTTGTTGGCCAGGCGGCGAGGGCTGGCACAGCGAGCTCCACTTGTCTCAATAGGATTGGCACGCAAGAAGTCTGCCAGCCACTTCAGATTGCAGTCGCAGATAAATGGGTTTTGTGCCAGATGGCTGCAGTGGGAAAGAAACAGGAGCAGTTAAGCACAGTCGCTCAGGAACTGGAGGGTTGCTCTACTGTGCTGCTTCCCAGCCTTGGGTCCCCAGATGTTCTTGGACTAGAACTCCCAGAAGTCTTCATCACTAGCTGTGCTGGCCAGGATTTCTGAGAGTTGTAGTCCAAGAACATTTGGAGACCCAAGGTTGGGAACCACTGCTCTATTGGATGATATCAGAGCAACCTTAAGCCTAGCCACTGGTATGGCACTACTGTTTGCTACCACTATGCTGAAAGCTTTTTCTGGCCTCCAGAAAATAATGTGACCCATTACTTTGTGATCCCACCCATTTCCTTGGTCCTGAGCTAGTCTCCACCCTTTAAGATGAGGGAGGAAACCTCTGATGCTCCAGACAAAAGTGTTTTAGACTTCCTGAAGCCCCAGCCAGCATGGCCAATGGTAAAAGATTATGGGAGCAGTGGTCTAAAATACATGGAGGGCCAGACATTCCTTATTCCCCTTGGGATGATGTGATTGGAAAACCATGGAAAACCGTGACCTGGTAAAGTAATCTCCCCTCTTTCCCCCCACAATCTTCTCTGTCTGCCCCTTGGGATCCTAGCACTCAAACTGCATATCCTACTTTCCTCCCACAAAACCCTGTCCTCATTGGCCACCTCTTCAGAGAAGCCAGCACTCACAGGGTCTGAATGGCACGCAGAGTGGAGAAGGTGCCCTTGGCCAGGGTCTGGATCTTGTTGTCATAGAGCGAGAGCAGGGACAGATTCTGCAGGTCAGTGAAGGCATCCGCCCTGATGCAGTTGATCTTGTTAGCATTCAGGAGCCTGGAGTGAGGGAGTATATCACACCACAGCTGTGTTTATGTGTTGTGGTGGTGTAGTGAACATTACACAAATATGTTCTTGGCTACCTCTCAAGGAGAAGTTCCATGGACCCCTCTCAATATCACCCAACAGCTTATTGGCACAGCCTAAACCGAAAAGACAGAACACAATATGCCCACAAGTAGTGGTGCAGTGGGAAATGATGAAGCAGACATGCTCTTTATTTGGGCTTATCTGGGTTTTGCAGGAGCACAGCACTGGGCCCTCTGGCTTCAGGCAAGTACAGGTAAGTCAGGGTGCTAGAGTCCCCTTTCCCCTTCTTCCTCACTTTGTGCGATCCTGGCCCTTGTTCCTTCACATTGCTTGGAGTACTTTGGTTGGGCCATTACAGAAGTGAGGACCCTCTGGGGTGGGCTGGGCTTGGGTCACAAGCCAAAGGCTTTCCCCACTCACTTGACAGCCACAAATGCTTGCACCCAAAGGTGTACCACCTCCAAGTGTGGTGGGGGAGGAGGCTGCCTGCTGTACTCTCCTCCTGCCACAGGGCTGCTGGGAGCAGCGCTACTATGGCTCTTCCTCACTCAGACCAATGCAAGGCTGTCCCCACATGGAGATCTTTCTCCTGCCTCATCTTCCTCCTTGTTCTAGCTCCCCCTCCCCCCCGCTGGCCCCTCATATAAGTTGAAAAATGCAGCCTGGCTTAAGTGCAAGGGCTTACTCAGCCTTGGGGATCTTTTCGTCTCTCCTCCTGAAGCTTCGTATTTCTTCTGCCCCACCCTGTTTCCCCATGTCTCTTTCCTGTTTTCCCTCATTACTAAGCAATGGAGAGGCCTCATGGAGTTGGTGTTTGGCCTAGTTTTGACAGTGCCATAACTTCCCCAGGCCTCACCCAGGCCCCAGCAGCAACAGTCATGGCAACAGAGCCAAGAGGATGCCTTCACATCTCTCCAGTCAACCTGTGACTCTGTGGAGGCCTCAAGGAAGTCCCACAAGTCCTGCAGGGGTTGCTCGGCCAGTCTTGGGAGATGGGGTGGGCCAAGCAATGCGTTTCTGCCAGCCAATAGTATGAGTGTATATACATGTGTACACAGACACAGACATGTGTGCACATGCGCACACACACACACACAGAAAAGAATAGTAGTACATAGATAATACCCAATTCATAGCAACTCATTACAAGGCAGACCCAAAGAGAAAATGACCAAACACTATTAGTTGGTACCTCCAGCTCCCAAATGAGACCACTCAGACATACTATCAACATTCTTTAAAATACTTTTTTCCTCTCCCAGGTTATGATTGGCATGTTTATGCACAATTACAGTCAGTCCCCTAATATTAAACAGCTACTGATTCTTAACAGACAATACAGCGTGGATATGGAGACACAGACACGACCCTGCTCCAAAAGTAGACATCGAGTGTACGTATCCTAACATCTACTTTGTCAGCACCATCATGGACTCCCACAACTTCACCCTCACCCACAACATCAGGGCTCATTCATTTGTTTATCTACTAATGTGATCTACAGCATCCTACACCAGCAGCTCCCTCTGCATTCTACACAGGACAGACAGGACCATCTCTACACAAGAGAATAAATGGATACAAATCTGTCAATTCTAAATGACAACACACAAAAGCCATTTCAGAACATTTTCATTTCCTAGGACACTGTCAGAGATCTGAAAATAACTGTTGTTCAGAAAAGGAATTGCAAAGGAAAGCTAGAAAGAGAGATGGCTAGAGTGAGTTAAATTTGCAAATTCCAGTGTACATTGCAAGGATCAAATAACAATTACAGCACACTATTGTTTATTCATTTAAAATATTTTTATCCCGCCTTTCTCCTTAAAAAAGGACTCAAGGTGGGAACTATAATCATCCATAGTCTTGGGTATTGCTATGACCAAAAAGTTCCTTTCTTTGACATAATTCTAACCTCAGCACACTTATTGAAGCTATATAATTACTGATAATGTGATGTCTATGTAATTAGCACTTGGGCTGATCATTACTGATGTTAACAATGCCATTGTCATTTGAACGTGCATTGTCAGTGCACTTGTCATCCAGTTTTTCTCATCTGGTTCCCTCATGCCCTCTATGTATATAAATCTGTGGCCTAACCATTATGTTTCATGTGTCTGAGCAAACTGATTATAATTCACAAATGCTCACACTAAAACTTGTTGGCCATTATGTCACATATCTTTTCTTTTTTGTTTTAACCCAAATGTTAGGATTTACTGACAGATCAAGAACCAGCAAAAAGTAATATTGGTTTTTAGGTGATGAAAGCACCAGTGGAATGAAAAATGAAGAGGGCATAACATGTCCCCACATTGTACTAAATATGGGGGTATTTGTATTCGTATATGAATACGAATATCCCCCCCCCACAGGTACAGATAATGAGGGTCTGGTTCCGCCACTGCTGTGGGCTCCAGACTCCCTTCCTATCAATTCGGAGCTCTTGATGGATTAGCCACTCCTGGCAGAAGGCAGGATGCTGAGCCTCTCTGCCAGGTCAAAGAGTGGCTAAACCATCGCGAGCTGCAGAGTGACAGGAAGGGAGTCCAGAGTCCGTGGCAGAATTATGAGTGGTTGGTCTGACCCTGGGGGGGGCAGGACCCTCGTTATCTGCACCTGTGGGGGATATTCGTATATGAATACCCCCCGTCTCTATAGAAGACTCAGCATTTCCAGCAGTATATCTTCCCAGCAGCTTTTATTTCCAGGAGGAGCAGGTGTTTTATAAAAAGAATGGCTCTTAATTTCATTTAACACAGAACCATTCCTAAATATTTTGCACTGCATCAGATAGCTTGCAACAATATATTTCCCATTGCTACTGTGAGAACTACAGTTATGTGCAGACAAATAGGACAACCTATGACAGATAGCAGATAATGTAAAGATCCCTGCTTTTATATATACCGTATTTTTCGCACCATAAGACACACTTTCCCCCCACAAAACAGTCTTATGGAGCGAAGAAAACAGATTATATTTTCCTGTTTTTTTCTCCTAAAAATGGTGCGTCTTATGGAAAGGTGTATCTTATGGAGCGAAAAATATGGGTATACATATATAAATAAAAAGGGTGTCACTTTAAACTTGTCTGGGCTTTGCTACACCACCTCTCACAGGAAGGGTGATAGCAAGCCCCTCATTTGGGATAGCACAGAATGGCAGAAAAGCTACAGTTGAATGAGGAGTGAGGTGGCGGCTAATGTTGGAAAGAAGATGGTAAGTAGATGAGATTGTGGAGTAGAAAGAAACAAGTGAAAGTGACACTACTAATGTAGGAGGTGAAGAGGAAGAAAAGACTTGTTGAGGAGAAGGGTGAGCAGAACAGCAAATTCCAGGGAAAGACTAAAGGGGGAAGGTACATAGTGGGCTGAAATATGTCAAGAAGTGTAGTTTGAAGCCCCTCTGAAGTCTAGATCAAAGTTGCTACTCAATCCCAGCCCCTTGTCATCCTGACATCCAAACATATCTCTAGCTATCTCTTTTGCTTACAGTAGTTGCAGTGCATACAGGCCACCGAATACCCCTTTGGGCAGCTCTGTGATCTTGTTCCCATACAAGACTCTGGAAAACAAACAAAAACCAGTCCTTGGATTAGTAGGATCTCTTGATTAGCAGCCCCTGAGGTAGAACAACTGGACACAGCTCACTCTTGATACTCATTGATACACGCCACATGGGGTAGTAATGAATTAGTATATGAAAGAAGAGTATAAGGTAGCAGCTGGCTAATGCTCTTGGTAGTGTGGATCTAGATTAAAAATGAGTTCAAGTTTCTAGTAAGACCCAATTTTTTTGTGCAAACTGTCATATGCAGCCATCACTTGAAACACAGAGCAGAAGGTGCCCATGACAAGCTGTCTATGTCAAATCATTCCCTGCATGGTTGCAGCAGTTTTCACTTATTCCATTGCATATCTCACCCTTGCTTGAAAAAGAAAAGCATTGCAAGAGTGTGGTTGAAACCCGTTTCACATGAACAGTTGTTATCTGGAGCAATGCCCATGAAGTTGCATTTGTAGAGACAAACACAACAGAAATTGCACTTTGGGACTGAGACAAATGAAGCCTGGGACAACAGAAGTATGGGAAAACCCCACTCAGCAATATTTGGGAATTGGAGGGGCCAAGTCAAATATTGGCCAAGGAGGTTGTGCATTGGGAGTGCAGGATGTGGCAAAGAAGGGACACTAGGGGAACAGCCACAGATACAGTGGCAAAGCTGTGCATGTGGAGACTGTGGAGGTAGCATGCAAGCAGCATTTCACATCATTGCCAAAGACAAGTGCACTCCATCATGGTTCCAACTGGGATGACTCACAGAGAGTTGAGTGAACGTAGGCCTTGGAAAGCATCAGGTGCAATCTCAGAGATCTGATTGTTGCTTAGGTCTCTGAAAGATAAACACAAAGACAACAGTCACATATCTGTTGATGTCTGCAGCGTTTTAATGCTGCTCAACCCTGCCTGAAGGTATACGTCACAGCCGGAGTCTTCTGAGAGCATCATTTGTGCATTTCTTACACTAGCTACACTGATATACTATCCTCCATTACTCTCAAGGCAGAGTACATGGTTCTCTTCCTCCTTAGCATTTATCTTCACAACATTCATGAAGTCAAGTTGATAGACAACGACAGGCCCAAGATCACCCTGCGAGATTTACAGCTCTTTGTGGACTGCAACCTGAATCTCCCAAGTCCCCATTCAACACTTTATCACTACAGCCCAATGCCTCTCAGTAAGCAGCCCAAACACAACTGACAGGGATCCCAAGTGGATAGAGCATGAACATGCCTGTATATAACTATCACAATCCCCATGTGGCCCCTACTTGTTTCACCAAACTAAGAGCTCACACTACGTGTCTTTCAGCTGCCACCAACTGATTATGTCAACATTGTTTAATATTAATAATAGCACTCGAGGCAATGTGTCATTTTTAAAAGAACCAAATAGAAATTGTTTATGGTTACAGACTACGATAGTTCAAGCAATGTTGTTAACTCTTAACAAACATCCTCCTTCATCCACTCTCAACCACCACTCCCTCTCAAGCTCCCAATCTAAAACTCCCCCTCCTGCTGCTGAGTCTCTTATATTTCATGACTCTGTCCCTCCAGCACTCCCATCTATGCAGATATCATATGAATATTCATGACCTGGGCGGACACCACAATAACATATCTACGATCCCCAAAACACATGACAAATAAGTGATGTCCAATTTATTTGTACGTGTTTTCCAGCACAAACTGCTGTAGAAAAATTAGAGTATCTTTTCCAAAGAAGTACAAAACTAAGACAAAATACTCAGTTCATCCAGGCAGGAAGCATATCCAAAATATTAGTATGACATTCTTATAACATGGAAATACTCTAACATGGATATCCACTGACTCAATGAGCTGACAACATACTTATCACCTGTCCCCAGGAAATACTGGCAGTGCTAGCAACTTCCCATGAGAAGCCCATTTGTGGCTATAAAGTCCTGAGATAGGGATGAATGCAAAGAGATGCTTTCCATGAAAGGGGCCATTTGGTATTCTATATAATGGAAGGAATGGCCTATCTATATTTTCTTTCCCCCTTAGTTTCCATTTGTGATTAACATTTGCCCTGATATGACTCTCTTGAGATGGGGAGGTGGTGTTTGCCATCCCACCCTTCTAATAGAATTCTTCACTCTCATACACCAAATGTTACACAAACAAAGTACATATTTTGCCTTCTATCCAGAAAGAAGACAAAGCAGGAGAGAACAAACCATGGATTCAGAAACTAATTTAGTTCCAACCAAACCCTTTGAGTGCCCTTATCATCACTGCACAATGGGATGGCAACCAAAAGTAGATAGTCCCATTTCTAAATCTATTTTTTTAAGTGCATTGTTGTAATAATAAATGTTGCATTATTTTACAGGATGGTCTCTAGCAGCTTCCTGGAAGCTCAGTTGCCTTTTAAAGGCACAGAAACAATGTCTTTCCCCTTCTCCTCTCTCTCAATCTATCTTCCACCCCGCCCCTCTCTGCTTTCTTTCCCTCTACATTCAGTGGCACTAAAATCTCCTGGGAAACATGGACCCAGAGGACCACATGCAGTCAGCAGGGCCATCTGTTGCCCACCCTTGAAGGTTTCAGAAATCTGCCCTGCTCTTCAATCTATCTTTTTGTCATCATTGTTCATTCTCATCTAAGAAGTACATGGGCTTGAGAAACAAAAAAGAGAACAGAATGTTGATGAAAAAGTATACAAAACACCAATGAAGCAGAGGTTAGGCTGCAAGAATGAGATGAAACTGAGGGAGGCAGAGGAACAGGTTGGTTATCCTCTAGACAAAGCTACTCACATCCTTCGTAGTTTCTTATATGATGAGAAAGCTCCAGGAGGGATAGATTTTATGCCATTCAGTTCCAGACGTCTGTGTGGTAAAACAGAGCATTAAAAAGAGGAACAACATAGGAAAAACTGTAACACTGCCTCTTCCAGCAGGCATACTGCACAGAGGAGGCCAGAGTATAGAGAAAAGAGACAGCATGTGTCCTGAAAATTTTTATTTCTATGTGAGTTAAACCAGCATATGTGAGTTAAACCAGCTTTCTCATGATGTTTTTCATCCAGCTTGCAAGTTAATTATGAGCCCATTTATTTGACCAAATCAATGTATTGAATATACATGCTGAGTAAATCCATGCAATGTTAAATACTAGGTACAGTAGTACAATTGCATTTGTTCACCATGTGCTCAGGTTGCAGGTTACCCATCTGCACTCAGAACACTTCCAGCTGCAAGACAGACACATGGTGACAGTACAACAATCAAATATCAAAACACTGGACATTGCCCAGATCCGCTCAACCCACGTTGACGAAACGTCAATTTGGGGACGCAAACTAGGTATAAATCAGAGCTAGATATGAACTGGATTTAGCCTATTCAGAGACACTGCACACAAAACACTCATGAGATCACAGCTTTAAACCACTCCCCACAGTGGTTCCATGTACAGTACAGTAGTTCGTGCACAATTGTCCACCATGTGGATCAAAGGATTTTTCACACATCATCACTAACCTTAGGTACATAGTGACATGGGGGAGATACTTCTCTGTCTGCAGAGAGAAGTCACTTCAGACAAATGACTTGCTTTATGGCAGAACCCATCAAGAGAAGCTATTTAAAGTAGTTTTTATGCAGGTGCTATATTGTACCTACTTCACTTCTATTCACTTAAGATCAATGGAATTACAGGTCAATTCAAAGAACCACGCTGTGGATTTTGCAACTACTCTCTGCAGTTTGGGAACACTGAGGAAGATATATTTTTAACAGGATTAGATTAAAAAGGACTCTAGCGCTCAGGTCACATCTATCTCTCCTTACTCACATTTCAGACATGGTCTCAGGCAAGTTGGCAGGGATAGCTGTCAGCCCCTTGCCGCGACAGTCCACGATCCCATTGCTGCAGGTACACATGGCAGGACAGGAACCTGAGGAAAAACTGCAGATGTGGGCCCTGGCAGCATCATCCTGACCTGCACAGTAAGGGGAGAAAGAATGCAGAAGTTTAGTGAATTCTCCTTACCCATTTCTTTCCCTGGTTTGTGGAATGGTGCAATCTGGAGTTGTGTGGGCTGAGAGCTCCCTCATGCTTCTCTATCACAGAGCAATAGCCTGGACTATTTCAAAGCCTGCTCCAGGTCTCCAGTCCCATGATATGCAGAAAGGCTATACACCACAAATCCTTCTTGCTCTCCACCTCCACTCTCATCAGCAGGAGGTAAAACAAGGGGTCTGTCAGAAAGAATGAGCTTGCTTTGGGGGCACTGAAGTAATATTCTGACCAGTGGTTCTATCTTCTCTCAGCTTCCCCCTCCTTAAATCCAACAGGTTTGAAAATTTGGAGAAAAACATTCACAAACAGACATTGAGTCTTGGGCAAGAGTAAGCTGATTCTTTCAACCTCACACTCTGATTACAACTTTGGAGAGATTTTCAGAGGCTGTGTTCCAAAGATGGGCAGAGCAGAAAGGGGAGACCAAAATTGTGCCAATATATTTTAATTTAAAGCTCTTAATGGTAGTGACTAAGCCTTAGAAGAGGCATTTCAGCTGAATAGAATGGGAAATACCATAGAAAGCAAGGAAATCTCCAAATTAGGGTCAAGGTGACCCATCCCTCATACAGCCAGACTAGGACCCCAGAAGGCCAGATCAAGTCTCAAGGCCTAAAGTCCCTGGAAGAATATAAATGTTAAAGAGGCCTATAGTTCAAGTTGGTAAAGACAAGACATGGGCTGCACAAGAAGAGAAGAATGTGTGCACAAATGAGAATGAAAAATAAACAAGGTACAGTATGTGGGCCCTTCAGGATGATCATGGATGGCAACTATGCCAAGAGAGCTCAAGAGAGCCTTTTTAAAGAGTTGCACTTTCTGGCACCTGATTTCAAACATACACAATGGAAAAACAAAACAAAACAAAAAAGCCCAAAAAGCAAAGTAAAGCAAAGAAAAGAAAACCAAGGACAACAGGGCAAACCCCAGGACATATAGTGACCCTTCCCTCAAAGCAGGCAATTTCTTGCATAGCAATTTCTGCTGTGCAAGAGTGGCATCACATGACAACTACTTCTGAGTATTCTCTATCTAGAAGACCCTGGAAAAGACTTGATGGTATATTATCATTATTATCATTATTATCATTATCATTATCATTATTATTGTTATTGTTGTTGTTGTTGTTGTTGTTATTGTTATTGTTATTATTGATTCTCATCCTTTGGGAGATAGGAACAGCAAGGCTGGTAGAAACACCTATCAATAATTCCGGGCTTGGCTGAAATATTTTGGGAGTTGCAGTAAAAAAAAGCATGCACATAGGCACACATTTGTAAGCTGTGAACCGACTAGCCTTGCCCTCCCATGAAAAGTTTATTGCCGCTCTGCTGATGCCCATCACCTGTGCAGCTGAATTCGTTCTTCTGGATCTCTGCAACATTGAGGCCACGAAGTGCAGCAGGACCAGCACACTGTGTGAAGAGCCCAATGGTGGGGCGCTGGCGCAGCCATTGGGAAAGCCAGCCCAAATGGCAGTCACAGAACAGCTGGTTGGAGTGGAGGCGGCTATAAGGACCCAGATGCAGGGGAGAAGTTCAGGAGACAGAGAGAGAGAGAGAGAGAGAGAGAGAGAGAATGCATTCAGTTGGCATCATCCCACACTTTTCCTGTGACACTCTTACCTTGTGAAATGAGGGAGTAGGGGAGCTCCAATGAGTTTGAAAGAAAATGTGAGAGCATTTCCAGGGAAGAGGGTTCCATTGCCACAGGGGTACACAGCAGTGGGGCTGGACCTTAGAACTCTCTATACTATGGACAGGTGTTCAGCTACAGAGTTTCCAGTTACCTGTGTTGATACCACAGCCTATCTCACACACCCTGCCATTTGTGAGACAACTACTTCTACCACAAGATCATTAACTGGTGGTCTAAACTGGGGTGGGGAAAGTGCGGCTTATGAGCCAGTTTTGCTCCAAAAATTCTCCTCATGCCATAGAGGGCGCAGGGTCATGATTTGGGCAACTCGGATCTATTATAAGCTGAGGGTTTTTAGTCACCTATTCCAAAATGGGAAGTCATTGAAAACAGGTGAAAACAGCTCAGGAGCTGTGGAAAAACTGGAAAAACTGCCCTTTTTGGCCATATGACATGTGTGGGCTAGCTGGATAACTCAGCAAGTTAGGCACCTGGCTGCAGAGCTGAAAATTGGGAGTTCGGTTCCTCATTGTGCCTCCCAGGACAACTGCCAGCCTGTGTAGCTTTGGGCAAGCTGTTAGTCCTGGGAAGCCCCCAGAAGAAGAGAATGACAAACCACGTCTAAGCATTCCATGCCTAGAAAAACCCTGGAAAGGGTCCCATAAGTCAGAAATGACTGGTGGTACATAATTATTTTTCATAAAGGTTTCTCAAAATAAACCATTCTGATGATGGGAAGCACAGGGACAAGCAGAAGAGCTCAGCCCCTCCTGGATCTGTCAGCTGGCATTTGCAGCCCTCAGACTGCTAGAGGTTGCTCACCCTGGTCTAAAATGACGTAGTTGCACCATTGCCTAAAAATGTTGGCCCCATTTGAAAGCTCCCATTCTACCGGGACCTTATACAATGCACAGTATGTCACTTTCTCCTCCTCACACACCCCACCCTTCCCCCTCCTTTTGTGCTCACAAGGTACGCAGTTTGGGCATGTGGTTGAAGCTGGAGATGGGGATGGTGCTGATGTTATTGTTGTTCAAAGTCCTGCAAGAAGAAGACAAAATGTTAATGAATGTCTGAGATAACCATGTCTTCTTTTCATCTTTATTGGCTAGCCTCTTTAGGACACTTTCCACATTCCCACTGGTATGCTGAAACCTAGCACCAGTCTGAAATGTTTGGCACAATAGTGCTTGCATTGCTAGCTTATGGTCCATAATATCAATGTGGGGATAATATTAACGGCTTTGTTTTTAGCCTCTAAATGTACTATCCTATGTACACTCATCGGGTAATAGACCAGCCAGACTTGTGCTTGAATAAATATAGTATTGCATTGAAAGTGAGAGAAAGAGCTGTTTTAAAACTTCACGTACTTGAGTGTAAGATTAATCCAAACAAAAAAGGTGCATGGGCTTTGTCTTTCTACAGAGATTGACCACTAGCTGGCCTTCTCTTTAGCATCTATCCTTTTGGATGGAAATTCTCAAAGGCCGTACTCTGAGTTGCTCCAACAACCCACTGCCTTCAAATGAAGGAGCAGACTGCAGCAGACTGGTGGGGAAACAAAGCCATAGACAGTAGCCTGTACTAGTAGCTCATCTCACAAAATAATAATAATAAAAAGGAAAAATAGATTATTTGTTCATATTATTGCACATTGTTTCTTTCTGCAGACTCAGACCCAGTCCCACCATGCTTCTGGATGATGCTCCGACTAAGTGAGCTGTAAATTGTCAGTCAACATCTTCCACACACCAGAAGCAAGTGGGTTCACAGGTTCATCAGCCAGCCCACCAAAACAAATCCTCTACATAGTCCTCCCTAAGATACTTACAAAACCTCCAATCCACGAAGAGCACGGAAGGCCCCTTCCTCAATGCAGCTGATGTGGTTCTTGTCCAGCTGCCTATGGTGGTTAAGCAAAAGATTAATCTGGCACCTGTTTGCACGGTGTGATGAGAAATCCATACCTAGGGTGTTTAACACAGAGACCAACCTAGAGGCATAGAATGAGCAGTGAAAAGATGCAGGAGGACTTGCAGGTCCAGAGTTAGAAACTTTAGAGAACTACAATAGCCAAGGTACAGATGTGGTGTGGGTGTCAGATGAGGAATGCTATCTGAGAGATACAACAACATTCACTGTATCTCTGGGACCTGATCCCACTGTTCTTAGTATTAGCTATTAGATGAGACGTGTTATGATATCTTTCCTCACACACACATATACAAGACACCTGCTCTAATCCTCTCATATTCAGAGGCCAAAAAATGGGGAAAGTTACTTTAATTCAAAAAACAACTTGTCCATCACTGTCGGAAAGCATGCATGAAAGACAAGGGCAAGGTCTCCTGCCCTGTAGGTTGTGCTGGTGGATTAGTTCGCCCTGCCAGACAAAGCCATGTCACTCACAGGTTCTTGAGATCAGTAGCTCCACGGAAAGCCTTCCGGGGCACAGCCTGAAGGAGATTCTCACTCAGGTCCCTGCAGATGAGAAATTTGAGAGAAGAATCTTGTCTGTGAAGATGTTGAGAAAGGGAGTGACCAAAGAGTAAAAGAGGAAGCTATTGGATGGAAATTAGGAAATTATTTCCACATGATCATATTGTTCATCCTTCTTATGTGTACCATCTTGACTTCTAGCACAAATACTGTACACACAAAGATGCTGTTATTTTCATCAAAGACCACATAAGACACAAGGACCTCAAAAAGGTCTGTTTTCCTGTGGCTGACTGTTATGTATGGTAGCTACTTCTTCTGAAGCCTCTTCTGTCACAGCAGCAAGGTGAGAAAAAATGATAACCACTTGAACACGTAATGTAATTTAAATGTGTGCGCATTTTAAATGTTCCGTTGCCTTCCTCTTAAAGTGCAAAAAGAATTAACATGGTAAAACAACATAATGTGGCCATTTAAAAAGCAGCAAAGGGTGATCCTTACTGACACAGATGATGCATCTTGGCCTCTAGTAGAGTATGCATGCAATGAATAGGATGAACTGCACTACCATCATGCTTAAGAGGAGAAATGTTCTTGCAGGCTTTTCATTCCTCAGCCTGGTTTGTTCAGCTCTCTGTGTCCCACAGACCATTAGGAAGGAACTGGAGGAAAGGTGTGAACGGATCGGATACTCTTATCTTTTCCACCCCCAGAAAAGAAGTAGACTGGCTATAGAAAAGCCCAGTGACTGCTTTTATATTTGAGAACTTTGTAAGAGGATCCCCATAAGTACCCGAGCAGAGCTATAAAAAAAATACAGCTAGTGATACATAACTAAAAAGGCTTCACTGAATATTTTGTATCACAAAACTACAGTATGCACATTGATCTCTGTACACAGAGTTTGTTCCAGTTTCCAAGCCTTTTTCAAACAAATGAAAACTTAGGAGTATTTCAGACAGAGAGCTTTTTGCACTATCAATCAAAGATAAAGGAAGCTGTGGGAAAACACAGGAGGATGACTAGCAGCACACGATGGTGTCTGGACCACTAGACAAGAAAAGCTAGCCCTGGAAACAAACTGAGAGTTGAAAAAAAGATTATTTTTCTCCTGTAGAGCTGACAGCAGGGGGCACCAGAGGATTTTACATGATGGACTGTAGTCACCCATTCATTCTGTTATCTTATCTTCTAATCAAGACCTTTGGGGCTGATCCCTAATTGTTCAGACATGACTCATAATGTTGGGATGATTGTGGAGGTCTTGATTCTTCTACCCCACTTTCTGCTAATAACCAATCTTTTCTGCTAAATAATTTCATTACAAAGCCTCCATTATTTATAACAAGTGACCAATGCTCCTGTAAACTGGGTCAATATGTAATTGCAGGAGATTATTGGGCAGCTTGTGCTCATCGAAATATGTTCCTCTCAAATTACCTGCCTTCAAGGCATCTTCTTTAGACTGAATTTTTCAGTTGAAATTTTTAAGGTTTGGAGTTTTTTGTTTGTTTGTTTGTTTTGTTTTTTGTTTTGGCCTTTTGCCTACTTCTCTACCCTACTGTGAGACTAAAATTGTTAGTCTCTTGTCAGTCTGTTGTTAGTGACAGTTTTCTGAAATAACAGCCTGAAGTGTCAAACAAATACAGACATGTACATCCAGGATGAGCATGGAAACCTGGTCTGCACATTTGGTCAAGGGGTTTGGAAATTTCATGACTCTCAGCTCTGCAATGTCCAGCCTGAGGAAGAGACCTCCTGGAGTCAAAGGTTAGCTGTTGTTTTTGAGATTTTATTGGTTTGTTAGAAGTATAAAAGGGATAGCTAAATAGCTCAGTGACTTAAGTGTTTTGCTGCATAGCCAGAGTTTGGGAGTTCTATTCCCCATGGTGTCTCCTGGGAAAAGCCAGCCTGTGAGGCCTTAGGCAAGCTGCACAGTTTCAAGGCACACCAGAAGAAGGCAATGGTAAGCCACCTCTAAATACTCTGCCTAGAAAACTCTGAAAAGAGTCACCATAAGCCTCAGAAGAAGGCAGTGGTAAACCACCTCTGAATAATCTGCCTAGGAAACTCTGAAAAGAGTCACCATAAGTCACAAATGACTTGATGGAACATAATGATCATTATTAATAAAAACATCAAACCCTCCCCCCTTGTATTTGGATTGTGTCCAGCCTCTATCAGGCTGGCTGGGGGACTTTGCTTTCTTTTCTTCAAGGCTTTCGAATAAAAACATCAACCCCCCCCCTTTTATCTGGATTGTGTCCAGGAGCACCACCAACCTCTATCAGATTGGCCGGGGAACTTTGCTTTCTTTTCTTCAAGGCTTTCGAATGACACACCTCAGCAAAAGAGCCTTGTGTAGTTCTAAACAAAGCTTGGGAATGTCCTCCTTCTTAACTACAACTCTCAGAATCCCAGTGGGAGCTGTAGTATGGAAGGCAAGGTTCCAACTGGAAGATATACTCCTCAATGTTATTTCCCTTTGATGATTTACTCTGCTATTAGTTCTTCTTCTTACAGAAAACTAGTTCTTCTAGCCAGTTTTCCTCTCTGCTTTTTTCTGAGGCTCAGACTATAAAAGAAAATGGTTCTCCATGGGCCCTTAACAGTCCAGTATTTGCCAAAATGAGCCCCCTTACAGTTTTTAAAAAGATATCAAGGGGGGAGAATGGTTCTCCATGGACCCTTAACAGTCCAGTATTTGCCAAAATGAGCCCCCTTACAGTTTTTAAAAAGATATCAAGGGGGGAAGCCAACATTAAAAGATATACTAGGAGGGATAATGGTCTCATGTTTCTCTTGCGCCCTTAAATATCACACCTGTTAAACCTGTTCCAACTGCTACCACCACACACACTTTCCATTTCCAATGCTACTATACAGTATGGTGGCATAAAGACCAATGACATTTTGAGGTTTAGAAGAAGTACGGACCAAAATTAAAACTAAATAGAAAAAAATATGAAAAGACACAAAAAGTAAATTTCATCTGGCATATTTTGGAAACCAGCATTCCACTTTCAGGACAAATTAATATAAAGTCTACACGCTCTGGATCTTCGTTTAGTAAGGATCCCCAAAATTATCTTTCAGCTAGTACAAACATTTTATAAGCCTGCCACTGATAAAGGATGATTTGTTAGAAAAATGTATTTGGAAAAATTTAATAAATATATACAGGCACTCTGAGCACCATATTTCATGAAAAGACACAAAAAGTAAATTTCATCTGGCATATTTTGGAAACCAGCATTCCACTTTCAGGACAAATTAATATAAAGTCTACACGCTCTGGATCTTCGTTTAGTAAGGATCCCCAAAATTATCTTTCAGCTAGTACAAACATTTTATAAGCCTGCCACTGATAAAGGATGATTTGTTAGAAAAATGTATTTGGCAAATTTTAATAAATACAGTATATACAGGCACTCTGAGCACCATATTTCTCTCTTGACATTGTTTCAAACATAAAATTGCTGAAGAATGGCATAAAGGATTATGTGCACAATGAGAACATGGGCAAAATCCTGTTCATGCAGGCGTAATACAATATTATGCTTGTGTAAACATGCGAGGTGTTACGCCTGGTAACAAGGGATTGTGTGATTCAGTAGTGCAATTAGTCACGTGTCTGTGGTGTGACCTATTGCACAAGGCACTGTTGGAAGTGCTTCATGGATAGCACTTCTGCCTTGAGGCTGTTGCAGCTACTGCAGGTACAATATCAAGTTGTGCCTGCATAGTTACGGAATAGGATTTTTCCCCATATCTATTTAGAAAGCAATTTGAGGCCCAAAACCAGACAGCGAGTATCTGTAAACACATGCAATTTTTGAGCAAGCCATCAACGGAAGGCACTACTAGATGTATGTTGGCTCTCTGACTCCCACTGTATGCTGTGATGATTCAGCAAGGTCTTAGAAATTGAGAACAAAGAATCTGAGAGCTAAAAAGGACCAGGGAAACCTCAGATGCATTGCTTCCAATATTGCCAAGATTACCTGATCTCACCAACTCCAGATGTCTGTCCATCCATCCAATTTAATATCAAACATGTCTAAATGGTTCTGTAGTGTCCAAACACATATGCTTGCCATCTATGGACCAACACTGATGTTTTATGACCAATACTCATATCTCTGTCTGAAATCAATCAGTGACTCTTTTTTTGGCTGGAACTGGACAGAAGCTCCACCATATAGTCTTGTGGTCAGTCCTTCAGAACTTCTTAGGCATTGCTGTGCTAATGGTTCTTTGCTTCAAGAAATGTCCTATAGGACCACTCTTTTCTGAGTATGTGTATATGAGGTACAATAGTACCTCGGTTTACGAAATTAATACGTTCTCCGGAACATTACATAATGTGGAAAATTCGTAAACCGAGAGGCACTAAAAACCTCCAGGCAAACCTCCAGGCAAATCTCTTCGCAAACTGGAAAAAACCAGAAAAAAACGTAAATCAAGGCATTATTTTCAATGGATTTCCATTCATAAACTGAAAATTACATAAACCGAGGCATTCGTAAACCGAGGTACTACTGCATATAGATATATGAATATATGGGAGCCATAACACTGCTAGACATATAAAACAGTTACACAACTCCATTCTGCCTGTGTCTTCTAAACAAGATGAAGGGCACTGGATGGGGAGAGGTACTAACTTAGATAGATCTAAACCAGTGGCATAGTGTGGGAATATTTTGCCCAGAAACATATTTATCTCCTTTACCAAACTGTTTACACTTGGTTTATAAGATACTAAATTATGTAAACACGCCTTTAAAACAGCCATTCTCAGTGGGAACCATATGTCCTCATGGGGGACTATGTCACATTTGAAGGGGGCCACTGACTGGAAACAATTCTTCACACACCACATTATAAAGTTTGTTATGTGACTTATGCAGTCCTGATTTGTCCTATCTTTCATATTGTGTTCATGGCCATGGCCAAAAACAAGGAAACAAGCAAATGAATGAATGAATGAATGAATGAATGAATGAATGAATGAATGAATGAATAAATAGATAAATAAATAAATAAATAAGGTTGAGAATGGCTGCTTTAAAACAGCCATGACCAGGCTCTAGAGAGCAACCTAACCTGGTTTCTGATTTCAGCTCCTGCTTTTGATCACCAATTCATGGCACTTGGAGAATTCCTAAGTTGACTATGCCTCATTCAACACCTTACCCTGCTTTGTCTTTCCTCCATACACTGCGTTCTTGGATATGAGCCGCCTGCTGAGCCCTGGCCGGGATGGGTGCCTTGACTGTGCGACAACATGCCAGGCTTCCCAGTGTGAGATCCTGGCTGGCACTCAGCAAGGGACTGGAGCCAAACTGTCTGACATCCATAGGACACAGCTTTCCCAGTGGGGAGCCCACTCAGGCAGACGAGCCAGGCACTTAATCTCCTGCCCTATGGGGCCAGGCTGAGTCTGGTGCATGCAGGGGGTGCAATAGTATTATGAGGCTCTCATTCTCTTGGCTAATCCCAACTTCACACTTTAACCTGATTGAGGCATGTTTGGCGTGCCTGTTCCTTGTGCTGTTTGAGGGGATTAGGGTTGGGCGCAGCAGGGTGGTAATTGCTTCCTACTGCTCCAGCCCAACTCCCCCAGCCCACAGCCATGTGCCATGAAAAATCAGTCTCTATCGCCCAGCCACTGGGAGAGAGACAATCAACCTGTGGGGCAGAATCCCCTTCCCAGACAGTCCCTTTCATCCATATGACATGGAGACATAAAGAGCTTGTGGCCACTTAAAGGCTTACATATTTATTATGGCATAAACTGTCATGGCCTAGAGTCCATTTCCCCAAATATTACTGGCAAAAGTTGACTCTAATCCATTTTTATGTCCATCAAGATGCTTCCAATTTATGGAGACTCTAACAGGGTTTTTGAGGTATGCGAGATGTTCAAGGAGTAATTTTGCCAGTGTCACCCCCAAATGAGTTTCCATGGCCAACTTGGATTTGAACCCAGGTCTCTAGATTCCTAATCTGACATGCCATTCATTGCACCACACTGAAGACAGGAGGGCCTGGCGTGCTCTAGTCCATGGGGTCACAAAGAGTCAGAAACGACTAAACGTCTAAACAACAACAACAACACACTGGCTCTCAGCTCATTATAATAAACCTTACACCATAATAAAAACATTGGCCTCTAAAGTGCTACAAGAGTTTTTGCTCCCTCTGTTGCAAAGACCTCAGCTTCCCCCTTGAGAGTTGAGATGTATGAATGCCATAATGGCAAGTGGGAACAGTTGGTGGATTTTGCCCAGAATGTCTCTGCATGCACTTTTCTCTCTGTGTGTGTGCAGTTAACAATGATACTATTGTAGTACCAGTTTACTACTTCTGGATGTACTGAAGTTCAAGAAAGGAAAGCTGTTCAGGTAAATATGGAGAGCATGGAAGTTTTGAAATGTGAGCTGCTCCTCACTCATACCATCATTTTGAAAGAGCTGTCGCAGTTCCTGTATGTTGACCCTTTACTATTTATTTATTATTAATTTATTTGTTCAATTTTTACCCTGCCCATCTAGATTTGGGAATCTACTCTGGGCAGTTTACAGAATATAAAGATAGAAACAGCATTCGAATAACTTTGTTGTTAAGAGCAAAAAGACCAATAAAGAAAACAGGATCCAAGATGCAAAAGAGAAGCTATGTAATGGGACGGGGGAAGGCCTGCCATAGGAACCATGTCTTCAACTTATTTTTCAACATTTCCAGAGAGGGTGCCAGTCAGATTTCTGGAGGTAAGGTGTTCCAAAGATGAGGGGCCACCACCGAGAAGGCCTGGTTTCTTGTTCTCTCCTTCTGGGCCTCTCTCGGGGTTAAGCCTCTCAGCCGCCCTGTCTGGTTTGATCGAGTGACACAAGTAGAGCTAAGTGGGGACAGGTGCTCTGCCAGGTATTGAGGCCCTAAACTGTTTAGGGCTTTATATGTAAGCATTAATACCTTGAAATCAATGCAGAAATGAATGGGTAACCAGTGTAAGGCCACCAGAATGGGGGAAATACGTTGGTATCTTTTCACCCCAGGTACTAGTCTGGCGGCCGTGTTCTGGACTGTTTGTAGCTTCCGCATCAGTCTCAAAGGCAACCCCATGTAGAGAGCATTGCAGCAGTCTAATCTCAAGAATACGAGTGCATGGACCAGAGTGGTGAGTCACCCAACATCAAGATAGCACAGCTGGGAAATCTGCTGAAGATGTAAGTGGGTGAAACGGACCACAGATGCCACCCGGGACTCCATGGTAAACGTTGGGTCAATATGGACCCCCAAGCTGTGGACCACAATACGAGTGCATGGACCAGAGTGGTGAGTCACCCAACATCAAGATAGCACAGCTGGGAAATCTGCTGAAGATGTAAGTGGGTGAAACGGACCACAGATGCCACCCGGGACTCCATGGTAAACGTTGGGTCAATATGGACCCCCAAGCTGTGGACCACACTCTTTGTGGTGAGAGTTGCCCCCCAAAAGAGAGTGAGCTTCCCAAACCACTGATAGAAGGGGCGCCCACCCTCAGGACCTCTGACTTGTCTGGGTTCAGCCTCAGTCCATTCTTCTGCATCCATTGCTGTACAGCTCCCAGGCAGTGCTCAAGGGACGCAACGGAAAAAGAGAGATGTAGAGCTGCGTGTCATCAGCATACTGGTGACACGAAGCACCACACCCCTTGATGACTCCACCCAGTGGCCTCATATAGATATTAAACAGCATTGGAGAGATTATCGAACCCTGCAGCACCCTACAATTGAGGAGCTATGGGACTGATACATTCTCTCCAAGCTGGACTCTCTGGTAATGGTCCTCCAAGAAGGATTGGAGCCAAGCAAAAGCTAGGCCATCAATCCCCAACTCGGAGAGCTTCCCCAGGAGGATACCGTGGTCAACAGTATCAAAGGCAGCTGAGATAACAAGGAAAACCAACAAGAACATTTTGCCCATGTCGACCTCCCTCAAAAGGTCATCAAGCAGGGCGACAAATGCCATTTCTATGCCATGGCACAGCCTGAAGCCCAACTGGAACGGATGTAGGGCATTGGTCTCATCCTGTAGCTGATCGGCGACCACCCTCTCCACTACCTTGCTAAGGAAAGAAACATTGGCAACGGGCCTATAATTGCCAGTGTTGTCTGCCAGCAAGTTCGGTTTCTTCCTAATGGACCTAAGGAGTGTCTCCTTGAGGGCCAGGGGAACCTTGCCCTCCTGGAGGGACCCATTTATTATAGCAGTGATCCATTTGGTTGTTATGGGCCTGCCACTTTAATTAGTCAGGCCGGGCAAGGGTCAAGGGAGGAAGTGGTAGCACAACAGCAGTCAAGCACCTTGTCAACCTCAAGTGATATCACCAGCTGAAAGTGGGTGATCTTCATCGGACAAGACACAGCGTTGGATGTCTCTGCTTGATCTACTGGTTTCAAATAGGGGGATAGGTCCCGGTGGCTGGCCTCCACTTTGGATTGGGAGAGGCCAATCATTGTGACCAATTCCGGATGGGTCACGTACTATACAGAATAACTCAGGCTGCTGGTTGGAAGCTTCGCTTATCCGGAGAGCAAAGGAATTTCTCTTTGCAGCCTTTATTTTAGAAAGATAAAGGTTGGATGTGATATTGACAGCTTTTAAGTTATTTCCTATCGGGTCCCGCCTCCAACTGCTCTCTAGTCATCTCCAAATTTGTTTCATAGCTCTCAGCCACTGGTCAAACCAGGGCAATGAATGAGTTCCTCAACAGAGAGGACGTTTAGGAGTGATCGTGTCTACAGCCCTAGTGGCGGTGGTGAACCATCTGTCAACCAAAGCTTTGACAGGAGCACCAGCCAGATCAATTGGCATCCCTCTCATGGAATTAGGGAGTCCAAAAGGATCCAGTAGCCTGCAAGGGCGGACCATTAAATTAGGTCCCAGCTCCCCGCGAGAGGGAAGGGCCACTGTCAGGTTGCATTTAATTAGGTGGTGATCCAACCATAACAAGGGGACAGACACACGGTTAGTCACTATCGGACCACACTCCCTCTGCTCAGAGGAGAACATCAAGTCAAGCATATGACCACCCACGTGGGTTGGGCCGTTCACATGTTGGGACATGTCCAAGGAAGCCATGGTTTCCAATAACTGGACCAGAAACCTCCACCTCCGCATGGATGTTGAAATCAACCAAGATCAATAGCCTTGGGGATCCCAACAGTGCCGCAGAGACGAAGTCAGCCAACTCCGGTAAGGAAATCACTGGATCGTGGGGAACACAGTATGCCAGCAAGATCCCAATACCATCCATAGCCCCGCACAACATGTGGAGGGCCTCTAGACCAGGTATCACCACGGCAGAGAGCCTAGCAAACTCCAGTGTGTTTTTATATACAATGGCTACTCTCCCCCGACCCCCCCGTCTAACCTGTTGTTGGACAGCATAGCTGGATGGACAGGCAAAGGACGGAGGAATACCCTCCCCCATCACTGCCCATCCAGGTTTTGCTTATGCAAGCCAGGTCTGCATCCTCCTCCAGGATAAGATCGTAAATCAACTGGGACTTATTGGATACAGACCTGGAATTCAACAACACCTAGCATGCAAGGAGATCCCAATCACTACATGATCCCCTGAAAATCTCCAATTAATCATTGTTTCATTGTTTTCATTGTTTCTGCACCTGCACTTACATCATCCACCTCCACACCTCTTTCATCACCTTTCCCCCCTTCAGATCATAAGGTGTATGACTGAAGGGAGACAAAAGAAACGGTAGTACGATTCTTTATTGGTATCTATTGTCTGCCTTATTTCCTTTCGCTGCACTGGAGACTTCTTAACCTCTGCTGGACTCTCACTCTATGGAGTTTTACAGATGAAAGGTATTACTAACCCTCCAGCCAAATGGCAGGTTTTGTGGATGAAAGGTTACTGATCCCACAGTCAGTTTGCAGGACTGTCTTTGCCTTAACTCAGGGATGAGCAACATTTGGGCCTGCAGACATTTTAGATTACAAGTCTCACAGGTCCTCACTGCTGGCCGTATTGTGTGGGGCTAACAGGAGCCAAAGATTTCCTGCCACTGCTTTCATTCATATGGCTATCGTGTCAGCCTAATGTGGTCAATGACTGTTGCTAGCCAAAGCTTTCCCTAGAAAGCAGAAGCATCTTGGAACTGGGACATCAGGCTTGTAACGCTGCTTAACACCTATTTCCACCCATCCCCCAAGTCTGCCTTGGTTCCCCTATCCTTCCCCTAACCTATAATGATCTGATCTACCCTAGGCTTCTAAATGCATCCACCAGGCATGGAAGCAGAAGAAACCCCTCTGGGGCCAAGAAGACCCATTAGATTTGAAGGGA